TCTTAACAGAGAAACAAGATCTTTATAATCTTTCACAAACCCCCAGACTCAGCAAACTATTTGAATGTGGGCCTGACTGGAAATGTGAAGAGTTATGGAGTTAAAACAAGATTTACATACAAAGGGAAAGCTTGCCTAAGCTCTCTAGAGTGGCATCAGACCTTCAACATTTCCTGGAACGTGACAGAAAATCATACTCTTCCAAAGGCAATTGTTGGGTTTGATGCCTACAGTTTAGCACAGGTTAAAATATTTTGCTTCTCTGGAAGGTACAGGGAGAAACAGAAGTTTACAATGTGCCAATAGCTTAAATATGTGTAACAGGGGCATGTAACAAACCAGCTGTGTGGAGGATTTATTTGGCAACAAAGGGAAACCATCCGCTGATGCACCTCATATTTGGTTTTCCATCAACCTAACAGGCCACTTGCCAAGAGCATGGTGTCAGGATTATAGTGAATTAACTCAAAAGCAGTCATCCTCCCCAAAGCTGTGGGAATATGTTCTGTTACAAATGCCTAAATGCAGGAATGAGCTACAAAGAAAAATCAGATGATCAGATGGGAAAAGCACTGCTCTGCATCAGTAATTCATGGGCGAGAACCAAAATCGCAGGAGCCCTAATGCCAATCAGGTGATGCTGACCTGGCTCCAAGTTCATTTCTGAGAGACTTTCTCAAAGAAGAGTCTTGTTCACGGCCCTTGGCCTCAGTGGGAGCCCTTCCAGTGACTTTTATAGGCTTTGGATGTGTCTCCACATCAGTAACATGAAGTTATTATCAAAACTGTTGGCTCAGTAGCACAAGGGAATAAGAAGTGGTGAAGAGAGCTTTTCCCAGCACACCAAACCTCTCTTCACAACCCCTGCACAAAACTAGGGATCATTTAGCAGGCTTTTTTCCTTCCTATGTAGCAGCACCCACAACTGTTTACTGCATTCGTTAAAGCCCCATAGTAGGAATGTGCACTAAACTACCCATTAGTCCAGTATCAGAAAGGTGACAAGCACTGTCATGTTTTCACAATGGCAACTTAGCAAATGATTATTCATCACCTTGGTATCAGAACAGGCAGACATTAAGGTCATCCCCTTTGTAAAGCCGCAAGTCCACACAGTGAAGCCAAGTCTGATAGGAAGGGATCATAATTTTAACCAGACAGTTGAACCAACTCACCTAGCATAGGCTCAGAGAACGTCATAAATCTTGCACAATCTACACAATTTATACATTAATAGATTTTTTTAAGGACAGGAGGAGCTGTTAGTCCATCTAGTCTGATCTCATTTCCCACCAACCATACAATGTTATCCAGTTACCGAGTGCAGTTGTGGCTATCTAAAGCTTTCCCTCTGGAAGGGCATTTGAGATCATCTGGAGATGAAGAAGCCACTATTTCCTTTTGGTTTGGTCCAGTGAAACAACCTGTACCTTGCTGAGAATTAAATTTTGCTTCTCTTTAGCACTGTAATATCTAATTTTTAAGACAAAATAATGCGTACAAACTTCTATCAATTAATGTGTTGTTCAAATGACACCAAGATCTTGGAACTTTTTGCCAGAATATATAACTCCTGCTTCTTGAGACTCATCATATAAGCAACAGAAAGAAGAGTATATATGGTATGTTTGATTTGTAGCAAAATCATATGCCAAAATGTATTATGCAGAATAGTATTAGAGGCTAGCCAGTACGCACCACTGCCATATAGATTAAGAGCCTGCTGTTTGTTTTTCATTAGGATTTTGTCTGGAATTTGCATTTTTAGACTATGCTGAAAGCTCTGTCTCTGTTTAGGGGACAACACTAAGGTTTGCTGAGTGGTGGCTTGGCTCCCATTCAGGACAGCTTCAGTTTCATCTGCTCCAAACTTGGGAAAAAAACGCATTTTGAAGCCCTTTCCTCCTCAAAGGCCCTGCAGACATGTGGTCAGATTCCTCTTGATGTAATGGTCAGTTGAACAGCATGGGGGATGAATTTATCCACCAAGGGAAACTATTCAAATTGGCCTTTTTTCTATCTCGGCTTCACCAGAATATCTGCAGCAACCAGCTGCGGATTTCTGGATCCTGGGCAGGATGAGCAGGGCTGCAGCCCTGGCTGTACTTTCCAAAGTCTGCAGCATCCTCTGGCGGAGCCGCACGGAACGGATGGCCATCCAAGGGAGAGGCACGATGAGGTTTCACCTTGCATTGCCAGGGAAGGGTTTGGGGCCTCTAAAAGTGTACCCCAGCTTCGCTCATCTGCAACGTGACTGGGAAGAGCCAAAACTGCAAACGCCCTAATGCTGACCAGGTGATGTTGTGTATGGGGAGCCTACCCTCTGTGCTCCAGAGAGGAAGAGACAGCCCAGCAATCAGCCTGGGATTTGGGGACTACATTTCCATTCCTTGCTTTGCTGTAGATGTCCTGGCTGCCCTTGGGCAAGTGTCTGCAAATTTCTGATGGTTCAGTGCCATGGAAATAGAACCTGTATCCAGTGTTGTAACCTGGCTGGCAGAGCTGCCTCCAAACTTCTCCCCTTTTCCTGGTCTTAGTCACCATGATCAAAGCCCGAGGTGTTCCTTCACCCCCAGCCAAAGGAAGTGCTGAGATTAAATCTGGGTTCCCATGCTGCGATTCTTTCCTGGACTTTGCTGTGTTTTGGCTTCAAGGGCAAAACAGGTTGTTGCGTCCTGTTTTATTACAACAGCTCTGCGTCTGGAGCGTTTGCCCCATGCACGGGGCACCCGGGTTCAGCATCTTCCTCAGCCTGAGGGGATTCAGACACCTCTCCACTGCCTCCCAACTGCTTCACCTCCCCCATTGAAACTGGGCAGAAAATAATTAATGATTCAGAGAGAGCGAATAAGACACCTTTCCTTCCCTCTCCCTACCCAGCAACTGGAATGCTCATCAGGGATGAGTGAGACAGGGCTCAACCTTCTGCTCTAGGAAGCCACAGGCTAACATTCACCCCTGAAGTGTATCTGAGCACCCAGGATATTTGGAGAATTAAGTTCATCTCCTCGAGCCTGAGAAATAAGACTGGTGGCAGAGAGTAGCATGAAATCCAGCCTGGTGTCAGGCAGCTGCCAGCGTACCGAAGGAGGGTTGGGAGAATCCCTCATGGGCAGCTTGGCAGATTGACACGCCAATACAACCCAGCGCAACAGCGCTGCCAACTTCTGCAGCAATTCACTCAATCCTTATGAAAGCAAGACTAAATTGGACAGGAGCCTGCACTTCATCTTCTCTCCCAACTCCTCTGGGTGAGAACAGTTGAGCAGACCAGGTTTCCGATAAAGTAAAAGCAAACACCATTCCCTTGTGCTAAGATACAGGAATATTATCCTGACATTTTAGCATGGATCACTCATATTGCTGCACGTTCTCTCCACTCCTAGAGCTGTGTCTTGACAATAGAAACATTCCCCGAATACAAACAAAATAATCAGGGTTGAAAACCAAATTCATGGTGGAAGCATGCACTCCTCAGTGGGAGCTATCTGTCAGGCTAGATTTGTCTCCCGGCCTGTATGAGTCTAAGTAAGTTGAGTTTGCACTAGTTATTTTTATTCTAAGTATTTTTATTCTGTCTTTCCTACAGTACTCTTATTTTCACATAAATGTGTGAATATTTTCTAATATCTGGCCAGCAGCCTGAAAATTATATGATCCAGGTTCAAATTTGTGTGACAGAAGTACAAAAGAAAAGGTAAATAGGATAATAACTTTCAGTGATGCCTTCCTCTTCCTGTCTTGGGTTTTGTTTGGTTTTTCTGGTTTTTTTTTTGTTGTTTTTTTTTTGTGGAGGAATTTATTTTACATTACCTCGAGGAATTACAAGCATCATCCAACATTTTTACAAGCTGGTAAAATTTGAAGATTAAAACCTGCACTTAAGTAAAAAATGGTTCCAAAGAGGAATTTATCTTTGATTTGTCTTGGAAGCAAGATTTGTGTGTTTAAGTACTTGGCAGCCCACAGAGCGACTTGTCCCATCCGTCAGCTGTTTAACATAATTTCTCATGATCAATGGCAGCGATACGGGGTCACTGGTGAGAAACACCATCTCGTCCTGCAGGAACAGCAGTTCTGGGAGATGTGAGACCCTGTTTGTGCTTCTCCTAAGCCCAAATTTACCCCACCAAGTCCAGACTCTTAAACTAGTCCCTATAAACCTCTCTCTTAACATTGGCAATGATCTGCCAGTATCCACACTGGGAGATGGTGAGGAGCTGGATCTGGCTGGCAAACTGGGCTGTAACCTAAAGAAAGACATTTAACACACCTGAGGTACAAACCCACTGTAGACAGACATTGGCAACAGAAGCCATTTAACCTGATTAAACACTGAAACACAGTGCTTTGCACATGTGAAAACAAATTGATTTGATCTGATTGGAATTCTTTTCAGGTTTGTGGAAACAGCTAAGCACAAGGTATGAATGTTCATGGATTTCTTTCAGTCAGCCTTTCCTAAGGAAGATGCGGATGGATCACTGGAAAAAAACAAAGTCCCTGAAATTGTTAAGTTTACTGTAGTCTGGCCTGGAGATGTAGATGGTGCTGTACCAAACCAAAGTGAATGGAGCCCCAGCAGCCAGCTTAGATGGGTTTTCAGGTCTGGGGCCCTGAAACCTGATCTTTAGTGAGACCTGAGCAAGACTGGCTCACCTTCTCACCAGAACAAACCAAAGTTTCATGGAGATCAGAGATTTTTTTCTGCCTGGGCTGAGTACCCTCCCCAAAATAAATCTAAGGGCTGGTCTATGTGTATAGGCAAGAGCAAGGCCTGGTACCCTGCAGTACGCCTGGCCAACGGGGAAGTTGCTGCAGTTTCTTGAGAGAATATAATTACCATCGTAGTGGGTGGCACTGCACGGTAAATCTGACCCGGGCGCGTAGTTTTGAGGATTTCTGAGGGCTTTCTCGGGAGGGCGTGCCCAGCGCCGCCTTTCCCCGGGGAGCGCGGGAATACCCGCGGCCAAGATGGCCGCCGCCCTCTGGCCCGCCGCCTCCCTCACTCAAGATGGCTGCAAAAGGCAGGGGACGGCTGCGGTGGCGAGGCTGTGGCGGCCATGTCGCTTTCGGGCAGCGGCCCACCCTCCCCTCCCCTCCCCTCCCGTCAGGCGGGCTTTCCCCGCGCCGTACCATTCCGCCGAGGGAGGGCGAAGCGGTGGTCGCGCCCGGGCGGGAGAAGCGCGGCTGAGGCGGGAGCGGGGCAGGGTAAGGCCGGGCGGTGGCGGGGTCGGGCCCCCGGGAGGGCGGGGAGGAGGGGTCCGGCTGCCCCTGAGGAGGGTGACCACCGCCCTTGGGGCGCAGGCCGGGCCTCGACGCCTGAGGGGCAGGCGTGGAGGCCTCACCCGGGCGCGGGGCGGCTTTGGGGGCGAGCTGCTCCCCTGCGTGGGTGGGGGGTGACAGCCGGTCTGCCTCACGTAACTGCGCTAATGTCGCTCAGGGCTCCTGCCACGCTGGGAGGAGACACGACGCCCGGGGAAAAATGTCTTTGGTTTCCAGTTGCCTCGCAGGGACCTGTGTGTGCCGCAGGCTGCTTGGGCGGCCAACGGATTTGTACGCGCCTAAGTGAATGGTAAAGACCAGAAGGTGATAGCAACTGGGTTTCGTCAGTGGCGTAAGGAATAACATGGTGCGGTACCTTTTAGATGGGATTGTGTGTGTTAGTGCTGTTCCACCTGGAAAGCATGGTCAGCTGTGATTTTTCTCACGTAAAGAACATTACCAGTTGCGTCTCGAAGGTAATGCACTTGGTTTTTTAGCAAGGCAGAAATTGAGGTTCTGTACCTTAAAAAAAAAAAAAAAAAAAAAAGGACTCGTGGAGGAATTTGTTCAGCAGTGTGCCGAAGGATAAATGGAGATGTTCTGGATGGCAGTTCATCAACTATCCAGCAGTGCACAATCAGGCCAGAAACTGGCAGGAGAGGAGCAGTTTGTTACTACTTGCTTGATGTCCTGATGTACCTAACTTTATGTACCTGCCTCATGGGAATTTATGTGAATAAGCTTAATTTTCCAGATGACTAATACAGTTGAGTAACTCCAGCAGTTATTTATGTCCTCGTAATGCTGTTTTGCACCTATCTTACCTTATGATCTCACTGCTATTAATGATTTTTATCACCACAATTCATCTTTAAGACAGGCAAATGTAACCTGATTTTACAGGGAAAAAAAACAAAAAAACAAAAAACAAAACAAAAAAAAAAAGGCAAAAACCAGAAAAAACATCACAGGTATGTCTTGTTTGAGGACTGAAGCTAGGTCTTGGGCATCTGTGGCAATGAGTTGTATTGCCCTTTTAATTAGAATGGTTTGCATCCTCTTAAATATTTTGCGGGTTATACTGCAGTTCTGGTTGTTTGATCTCTTGAGCAGTTCATTTTATCAGTCAGGATCTGGGTTGTTGCACTGCTGTTATGACCTACCCATGTTGGGCTTATTTTGCCAAGTGGTAGCCCAGGCATCGAGAGGAGGAATTACGCGCTCTTATACCATACCAGCACTTCCAGTTTCTGCAGGGGATAAACATGATCAAGAACATACCAGGACTTTTTTTTTTTTTTTTTTTTTTTTCCCTTCTAACACTATCAAGGGGTTCTCATTTTGATTACTGTCAGGGCCCTTTGTACATGTACATGCAGCTATTGAGAGTTTAAAGCCTGGGTAGATAAGAATTTCCTCCTCACTTCTCTGAAGAGAAACTTAAGATGTAATTGAAAAGGCTCGGGGAAAATCAAGCAACCGGAGATTATGCATACTTTGCAAAAAGCAGAGCATATTTATGTGAAATAATTTTTGACAAGTACACAATTCAATTTCTTTGTCCTATTGGGTTTTTCTCCCCAAATACTTGGGTGTATAAATCAGTGTACCTTCATTGCCTTCACTTCAGAAGGGCTATACCATATCGTACCGGTTACCGCTCTGGCCCATAGAAGTTGCAAAATAGATGTGAACAGTGAAAATCCATGAAACAACTTTTTAGAAATATTTACTGTTCTTCCTACAAATGCCTTTGTTTACTGTCTTAATTATCCTAAATTAGAGACATGCTACTGATTATTCCATTGCATAATTTTTAAAAAGCGCTATAGCACAGAGGAAATGTAAATCTCCCCTTGGAGACTAGACGCCACTGTTAAGCTTTATTTTTTAAAACAGTTTCACTTATTCCCATGGCCTTAACAAGAACTGTAACTGAATTGAAATACGTTTTGGCTTTTGCAGTAGTTCTGTTAGATTAATTATGTTTTCTATAAATCTTGGATACACGCAAATTATTTAATATATTTGTTCTTTTATTAGCTGGCAAAAAGCTGAAAGAAGTTATAAAAACCTGTAAAATGCAACATGTGAGGGAGAAAAATGTTTTCATTTAAATCTTCCCACTGAAGTCAGTATCTTGGAGGCTAACAACTCGCTGCTTTCAGAAGTAGCTTCAGGTTACAGCAGAATGATATTTATTAGGGCTGTTAACCTCTAACCAGCTCCATTTTGCTTGCTGGTTTTGTAAGTGGTAACGGGTTCACGATGACCCACAGCCATCAGTGGCACCTTTCTTGGGGGGTGTGAGAAAATTGCAGAGGGGCTGTGGAGCGCGCTCTTCCGGCTGCATTGCACTTTTTCCAGTTTTCTTCGTAACTGTCCTGCATCGCTGCTCAGGAGCTTGTTCTGCAAGGGTAGGGTGGCGTGTTTGCCATGGGGCAGGAGGAGAGAAGTGCCAATCGTTTTGAGCTTTGGGCTGGCTGGAGTGCTGGGAAGTGAAAGAGATGGGGTACAGCCCTGGGAATGCTTGGGTTATGGATGCAGTTGGGAGCAAAAGTCAGGATTATGAAAACCACTGGTGTTCATAAATGGACACAATTAAACCTACTCAAGATGTTACCGTTATTTTTCCTATTCGATTACTGGTGGTTATTTCAAGCCAACATGAGCCTGCAATTACAACAACATAGGTCCTTCTCTTTCTTTCAGTAACTGGATGATTTACAGCAACATTTGTCATCCTCATTCCAGTTTGCTGTGGATGAGAATTCCTTAAGAATCTTCTCTCATCATTAAGTGTTAATGAAGTGTAAAGAGTAAGGCAAAACCAGCTTTCTTAATCCATGAGGGATAAGAAACTGCTTCCTTACCCCCAAAGTGAAAGCAAAATACTTGGAAATCTTCTATTACCTGAACTTTTTTTGGGGGGAAAAAAAAGTATCTTGCATACTGTTTTATACCCATTAAATACTGTGTTCAACACTCAACCTCATGAAACTAAAACATATGAAAACAAACTATATTCAACACCACTTCAGAATACTAAAGGTCAATTTCCTCTCCAAATGGTAACAAAAAGTACAGTCTCATTTTTTCTGAAGAAAAAAAAAAGTGAAAATTGATTTATTTGTAGTATTTCTCAATGGAAAGACATTTCACTAAACCATTACCGGGCTGATTTAATCTAGAACCAGCTGAACTGAAAGAGATGGTGTTGGAACATACCTCTCCATTTGGCTTAGTATCAGATATTATTGTTAGTAGAGCTCACATGGGAGCCCTTATTGAGAATTTATCACAGATGGGGATCTTAAAGAGGAGCAGGAGGAAATTAGCACGTGCTCTGCTCATTGATTTCTTTAAGTGCTACTGATCAGTGAGCTTGGAAACACTGGGGTCAGTTCTGCACAGAAATGAAGAAGGATATCCTGTTGGAAAACATTAAGAAGGGCAAGCCAGGGGACAGATTAAGGGGAAGCTTTTGTGAATTTGTGGACTGAATTTGGTATTAACCTCTGGATCTGCTCTTCTTCCTGCAGCCTATGAGTGTGCCATATGAGCTGTTAGGATTACGTCTCCGCATAGCTGGTGATGACTGGTAGGGAATAGCTGGCAGATGTTGGGCCGTTTTAAAGATGCCTGCTGGCCAGAATCCCTAAGGCAGAGGCTGTGATAATTACTGAACGTTTGTAGGAGTCTGAAGGTGAGCAGTCCTTTTCTGATAGAATTTAGACAATGCTATTTTGCACAGCCCCTTCCTCAATTTCTAGCTTCTATGAGATGTTTCAACACATGCTTTGTTTGTCTTTTTATTCTAGTTGCTTTTCCTAAGTATTTTTCCTGTAGTAATGGTTTTGTTTTCTTTTCTCTGAGTAAACATCTTTGAACTCGCTAGCAGGGAGGGGTGCAGGAGTGAGGAGGTTCTGCACCAGCCAGGTGAGCAGCCTGGGATCCCAAGCAGTCCCACTCATTGGGGTGGGACTGCTCGCAGGAGCTCATGGTGCACTCGGGATCAAACCCCCGGTTCATTACAAATGCTTGAGGTTCTGCATAACTCAAATTTACAGACATTTTATATCCAGTAGAAATCTTGTCCATTTCCTACAAACATAGCAGTGCGCATTCCAGTGGCACTTAATGGGGTTATTAGAAAATCAGTTTAAATTTTTAAATGCTGTCTTTAAAACGTTATGTAGGGTGTCACAAGCACTGAATGATTTACGCCTTGCAGATTAGAAGGTGATTATCCTCTGCGGTAGCTTGTAATAGGAAGAGTATTCTCAAAGCTATCTCAAGCTTGCTATTCAAACCTCTTCACTCTAGGCAGTGCATTGTATTCGACTTCCTGGTACTTTATGCTGAAGACGTATTTGTCTTCTTAATCAGACAGTTTATATCTGCCAGGAATGTATTTAATATAATGTCAAACATAATTTAGATGAGAAGTGAAAGTACAGTTTGGTGTCGTTTTCTGCCAGCCATTATTACTGTGAGAGGGAAGCACAGCAAGCCAAGCTTAAACGGAGCCTTTAAGCAATAACAAGCTGATTTGTCTGTTTTTGGCCTAATGTTATTCCTTTGGTTACAAAGCTGTTGTAAGCATGTGCTAAATAACAGGCATTTTAAAACTATGATAGATCAGGAATATGAGCTTAAAGGATCAGATCAGAGCATCTGAAGGCCTCCATAAGGTTGACAGCATTGTTGCTGTGCTTTATGGGCAAAGGTAAATGAGACTTCTTCCAGCTGTATTGGTGTCACATGCAGGTTGAGACAGGAAAGCCACAGAGTTCTCAGGCACTGGATTTACTGTAATAATAGCTAGTGCCTGTCTCTAGAGCTGGTGGGGAGATGCAAATTGTTCTTTCTGAAAATGTCAGAAAACTTCTGACCCCTCTGTTTGTTGATTGAGAAGGAACAGTTTTGAAATACTTTTCAAATAAAACACTACTACCTCCTCAAAAAATTTTTAGCTATTTCTAGATACGTAGTTTGTCCCTGTATATTATTTAAGTGGCCAAATACAATAGAAGCTTACTGACTATCATTATTAACCCCTAGGTCTGATTGTTCGCACGGTGGGGGGAAACAAACCCCAAACCAGAAACACAATCGAATGAGATCCAAAGATTTAGCCCCCTGCTTTGGCACAAGGGGCTGCCTGGCACAGGGAATGGAGCCTGGTGTGGCTATGAAAACATGGGCTCTGTTTCAACATGAGCCTGGAAACAATCGGAAGTGACTTGTTATGCTTCAGTTCCCCCTCTGTACAAGAGTGGGGAAAGATGCTTGTTTCAACTGTAAATTGTTGTGACCTCTACTGTTGAAAAGTGCTTGTATTAAGAATGTTTTATTATTAAGCTGGACCGATCACATTCCTCATACTTCATTACTCTTGCCATCTGTGTGCTACAGAAAATTCTCTCTGAAGGGTTATCCTAGAGTGTAAATCTAAAACTGTGACTATAATAAAGCAAGTGTGTTTGCTGATGATGGTTGCATTGATAGAAGTAACCTTGAGGTCTTCGCCACGTCTTGTAAATTAGGAATTAGGGCATGGATCTCCACTGAGCTTTTCTTGATTGATGTCATAAATGAATTAAAAGATAGCATGTGGAAGAGGGAGTGCAAGCATTCAAACATTTGTCTGTTTTTTTGGCAGGATGGAGAAAAAGAAAATTCTAATGAAATCCAAGGTTGCTGCTCCTAACCTCCTGAGGGCACTGCATTCTCTGTACCAGTTTGGTCACCTCTGTGACGTGACAGTTCACACACAACATCTCGGGATTCAGGAGGAGTTTTTGGTTCACAAGGCTGTCTTGGCAGCTTCCAGCAATTATTTCAAGGGACTTTTCCTGCATGATGAGATGCTGGACACCAAGAATTGCACAGTGACTCTGCAAGACATTTACACGGAAGAGTTCACCTCCTTCCTGGAGTTTGTTTACACTGCAGAAGTGGAGATTGAAGCGGAAAAACTGCAACGGATGAAAGAAATAGCCGAAAGACTTGAATGCAAGGATTTGCTTGACATTTGTGAAGAAGTGAAAGCAGAGGGCAGGAAGGGGTTAGATTTGAGCCTCCATCTGAAAGGTCAGCTCTGTGAAAATGGTGGGCCACAGTGGACTCGCATCCAGCAAGAGGAAGACCGCAAACTGAGTAGCTCTTCCCAAGTTTTGGCAATACCCATGCAGAGGAAACTTTGGGATAGGCAAAAACATAAAAAGTTGCTTGCTGGCTACAAACTCATTGAAGGGCAACCGGCAAGCTTGGAGCAAGAGGACACTGCTTTTCCAGAACCAAAATCCAGGACAGCAAAGCTACCAAAACGTAACAAGACAGATAACAGAAGCAGACTCAGCATGGATATCGTTAGTCTGGAAAACAAGAAAAGTCATCCTCTCCTAAGTCAGACTGAGTCAAAGGAAGCCTGCATAGTGATTAGGAACGCTCTGCCCGAGCAGTGGGAAGATGAAAACAGTTTAATTTCCCAATTTGTCAGTAAAACGGAACGTAGGAAGTCACCGCGGCACGTGGCAAAAGTCTTGCCGCAGATCACGTGCGAGAAGTGCAATGAATCGTTCGGTGTTGCCGAGCAGTACCAGCTGCACATGGAGCTCAAGCATGATGTGAACCTGGCTGTCAAGTACAGCTGTGACGCGTGTGAGCAGCATTTCTCCACTCACCAGAACCTCCGGCAGCATCGCCTCGCTGTCCATCGCGATGAGCGGGGCTTCTCCTGCGTGTTTTGCGACAAGAGGTTTAAGCGCCAGAGGGACATAAACGACCACATGCGCAGGGTGCACGAGGCGAAGCGGGATCCCCAGGCCTGCCCGTACTGTGACAAGGTCATCAGTTCCAAGTGCGGCCTGACAGTCCACATCCGAACACACACAGGGGAGAAACCTTATAAATGTGAACGCTGCCCTGCCAGCTTTGCTCAGAGGTCTGCTTACAGTACTCATGTAAGGTACAGCATTCTCTGTGTCTGTGTGTGTGTGTCCATCCGTGTGCGCACAGGGAAATGTGTTTTCTCTCTGGGCACCGGGATAAAAGCGTTCCCTAAGTCCTCACTGCTTCAGTTCCAGAATTCCTTGGATCTGATCAGAAGCGTGTTGAAATCAGCAGAGTTTTTCTGTTGACCTCATCAAGTGCTCAGTCCGGATTACTGGACTGAGGTCTCCCAGACTGGGAATTTAGTGAATGTTTCCCCATGACTCAGAGGGGACTTGTGCAGCCAAATCTCTTAGGTGATCTTGGAAGCCTCAGATTTGAGGGTTTAAATAGGAGCCCAAAAAGAATCGGCATCTGTTTAAAATGCACAAGAAAACACTCATTTCTTAAACATCAGGGCAGTGTGGTGCTTTTCAGTATGGTTTTCATGGACCAAATACCCTGTGTGCTGTTTTAATGGGTAGTGGGAGCTTCCAGATAGACTTATTAAGCACTGCCTGACTGAAAATAAGATGTTGAAATTGCACAGTCTTTTCCAGAACTGCAAAAGCCACATCTCCGTACCTTGCCTGTGTGATACGGGAGATAGGTGGTTTTCTACTGGATTTCAGCTTCCCTTGTAAAAAATGTCAAAATTTGTTTGTAGCTCAGTCCTGTAGCAGGAAAAAACATTCCAGATGTGTCATGAGTGCAATAACATAGCTTGTTCTACACGCTGAGGAGTGATAAGTAGAGTTAACTGCTGCAATTGATGGCTTACAAGGGGGTCTGATTTGTTTTTTCCATATAGGCATTTAATCTATATTTCCCTTGTTTTAAGTCCATAATTTCTTATCCTGTCTACCGTAGCCTCGGAGGAACGTTTACAGTCCATCCTATGTTACTAGTCAGATGAGAAATATGTATGCTTGAGAGGCTCCATCCTTGATGAACTGAGACATTTTAATTTTCTTTAATTATCTGGCCCAACTCTACACAAAATTTCCCTGTTGCTTGGCTCTCCAAACATGCTGTTAATTTTTTAAATGGTGTGAAAAACAATTAAAAGGAAACGACTCTTCCTCCAAAGCAAACATGTCTGAGTTGAAACAATTTAACTTATTGAAGTTGTGCTCTGTTGTTTGTTTGTTTTAACAGAAAAACACATGAGTCTGGACAAGAGAGGAAACTCATGCCTGTCTATTGGATGGTAGTTCCGTCTGCGCATAGACCAAACGCCACAAGCTGTGACAAAGATCCTGACAGAGAGACGTGGGATGGGACATCGGAGGCTGAGCAACAGAAGTGTGCGAGGCACAAAGAGGCCACAAGTCATGAGGAAGAACCCGGGGCTTCATCTGTTACCAAAGCAGACTGTAGCAATGAGCAAGAAGAACGGAAGCGGAAATATAAAGCAGCTGAAGCAAGAAGCGAAAAAATGAGTGAAGAGGGGAATGAAGATGAAGGTGAAATGAGTGTGAAGGGTGAGGAGGAAGTAGATTACGAAGCAGGGTATTCAGAAATTGAAGATAGTAGAGATAATGAGGAGGTCTGTACTGAAGAGGACGATGAGGATGATGAATATGCTAATGAGAAGGATGGTGAAGAACGTGAATCAGATGAAGAGTTTAAAATAAAGAAGGTAAATAAAAGTGGGGTGAATAAGAAATCTGCCTATGTAATAAGATGCGATAAGTGTAATGAGCAGTTTGTTTCCCGGAAAAAGTACGTGGATCACTGCAGAGATGTCCATCAGTGCTTGCCTGGTAAAGTCTATCAGTGTGACATCTGCAGCAAGTCGTTTGCTAGTTACAACAGCTGGAAGGAGCACCGAGCGTGTGTCCACACGGAAGAAAGGCAGTTCGCCTGCACCCTTTGCAATGCTACTTTTAAAAGAAAGAGAGATGTGAGGACACATTATATGCGGAAGCATGAAGGCAGAGTCAAACGCCCCCTCTGCTCTGTCTGCGGAAAGATCCTCAGCTCCCGAACCGCACTAGTGTTTCATATGCGGACACATACAGGAGAAAAACCTTACGAGTGTGGCATTTGTCATTCAAAATTTGCTCAACCGTCACAACTTAAGATCCATACCAGGTCAGCCTACAGTACTGCTTCTCCCGTTACCACTCCCTGCATGCCCAGTGTCCTTCAGTGCTGCTTTTTCCTCGGACTTCCCAGTCCTGAGTGATTCTGCTTGTGTGTCCTTAAAACAGGAACACTGGGATATAATTCGTTCCATAGTATCCATGATTAATTCTTTTACGTAAAGGCTTTGCCTGCAGCTGGTCATTGCATCAGTTTTGGTAGGGATTTTGAAACAGATGCTCTATCTTGAACTCATAAGTAAAAGCCAGTCATTTGAGACAGTCTTCAAAGTAGGATGATGGCCTTCACCGATGAAAAGTAGCATAGGCTGAAGAATTAGTCAGGGACCCAGATGCTGAGCCCTGCTCACTCTTTATCACTCTGAGCAAGTCATCTAGTGTGGAATTTAATTTCTTGTATGCAATATAAAAGCTGGACTTCTCATCTGGGCTCCCTCTGTAGTCACTGGCGCTAGACGGGATGAATTGCTCTCTCGTGGCGCCTGTATTAAATGTGTCTTCTCCCAGGAGAGGGTGAATCATCCCATGGAATTTCCAATTTTTCTCCAAACAGAGAGCATAGCAGATAGCTTGTAAGAGAAGGTTAACTGTTGGAGGGCTAAATGAGGTGAGAAAAGTCCTGTCTCTGGAGACCATGGACCCATACAATGGGGACAGTAGCTTTCTTCTGTCTCCTAAGAGTTCTTACAGTGATTTAAAAAATCATGAGGTATACTGATTCGGGACCAGCAAAAAATCTTTTCAGATGTCAAGAGAATCTCTGTCAGCTGAAATGCAGCCGAGCTGTGCTGCGTGTAAGAAGCGCTATGACTGCAACAAACCAGTGACTCATGGGCTTTGTGTTGGGTAACTGGCTGTCTCATTTGCAGCATTTTGCCTGACAACTCAAATCTATCCATGTTTTTGCAGATGATAGTATTTGGGTTGGAGTAAGGGAAGTCAGCACAGTGTTTGGACCAAACATCAGGCTCAGATTTTCTCTCATTTGAGCTAGTTTAAAATCAGATGTCCAGCATTCATTCAGAAATGCTGTTTGCCTGGCTTTCCCTTAGTGCCTTTTGTCCTAAAAATGGGAATATCCTGCCAGGTGAAGTTTGCAGGCCAGAGGACGTGAGGCTGAGGGACTAAGGAAGTTGAGAATGTGGCCCACAGTGTCCCAGGAGATCTGCTGCTGGCTTTGCGCTGGGGACAATCTGGATGCACTTTCAGTCTCTAGCACAGCAGCAGCTTGTCATCTTCCCTGCTTTCTCCCTTCCGATAATGATACTGTAAGCTGTAACTTGTGAAAGAAAGGTGAGTTTTGTAGAGCCTGGGAGTGAGGAAAAGGTAAACTTAAATGGGAGTTTTAGTGCTTTAGCGTAGCACCTACACTGGCAAAGACTCTATTTTCTGACTGAGAAAAATGTACTTTTTTTCCTCATTTTTAAAACAAAGTATGCTGCCAGCAGTGTGTAGAACATAATTTCAAATACATTATTTTAAGAATGCACAAGAGCTAACTTATTAATACTCCTTTGTGTTTCTCTTCATTTAGGTCCCATACAGGGGAAAAGCCATATATTTGTGAGGACTGTGGGGCTTGCTTTGCTGATAAAGGCAAACTCACTGGCCACAAAAGGACCCACACAGGTAGGCGTTAAATACTTCTGTTCCTTCCATCTGGTTTGTCCCATCACCTCCCTTTATGCTGCTAGAAATTGCCAGTTAGGATTTGAAGAAGGTGCACGCTTTTTTTTTTGGTAACTCACAAAAGAGACTTCAAGTACCAGGAAACAACTGCTGGGGATAGAGAGACATTTGAAAACTAACTTTGAAGTACAAAATTCTGCTGAAAGAATTCAGCATGTCTTTTTCCTCTTTACTCAGGAGAGCGCCTTTTTAAATGCGATGTGTGCGGAAAACATTTTGCCACCAACGAATACTTAAAATGCCATAAACGATGCCACATGGGTGCTAAGCCCTACAAGTGCGAGGTCTGTGGGAAGACGTTTGGACTGAGAGCCTCGCTAGCCCAGCACAGCAATGTCCACGCAGGTAACGACACAAACTGTTCGGGGCTGGGAAAATAAACAGCACTGCAAGCTTGGCTCTGAGGCACTTTCCAGTTTGGATGGTGACGTTTTATTCCAGAATCACTTTTATAAGCTCCTTGAATTAGGTGATGGGGAGAAGCAGGGCTCGTACCCATCCTGGCTTGTTAAACAGGGTATGAGATCGCCTTGTATCGGGTGATGCTCGCCCAGAAGGCTGAGGCCTGTTTTGTGCTGCTGAAGGACATGGGAGCGGAGAGCGGCTGTAGTTGCTGCTATTCCCCTTGCAAGATCAGAGAGCGGTTCTCGGGTTCTCCCTCGATCACACAAACCAGGGCCCCAAGCACGTATCCCCTCGGTACACCGCTCTATCCATATCGATCTTTTCCATGAAAATTCAGTACGCTTTTTGTCTGCTGCAGTCAAGGCCAGAATGACCTGCCATCTAACTCCGTCCTTTTTGGGTTTTGTTATTGTTTTCAGAGACCCGGCCGTATTTCTGCGAGCAGTGTGGGAAAACGTTCACTCAGCAGGGCGCCCTCCGCCGCCACCAGCGCATTCACACCGGGGAAAAGCCGTACAAGTGCAGAGCTTGCGAGAGAACCTTCACTGACATGTCCACCTTGCGCAGACACGTGGCGGTACGCTGCCCCTCGCCTCTCTGCCTGCCCGGCAGACTGCAGCCGTGGCATTTAACTGCTTTAATGAGGGTTCATGTTGATGAGGAATATCAGGGGTTGGGGGATTGATTCTACCATCTAAACACAGCTTTTAAAAAAAATGTGTTTCTGAAGCGTGCAGAATTTTTCTTCCAGCAGCACAGCAGCTCCCGCTGCTGGCTGTCAAACCAGTCACCTCCCAAGTACTTGTATTGTTTTCAAAAGGAAAATGGAATCTGACAAAAACATAGGAGGAAGGGACTGGTTATTTAAAATGCTTATTACTGATTGAATCCTTTTCTTCAAAAAAGAATGGCACCGCATTTTGTGTTACTTTTAAGCCTCTTACATGGAGGCCATAACATGATGGTTTATAACATCTTCGCGTTGCAGATGAATGTGATTTTTTTTCTTTTTTTTTTTTTTCCCATTTCCATCGTTGCAATATGCTGAAAAAAGGATTGCTGAGCTTAGCAGTTTTCAGAGACCTTCCGGTCCTTGAAGTGACTGCTAAAACAGAGCATAAGGATATTTTCCAATTACAGGCTTTTAAGTTGATGTTCTCCTGTGTGCTAAAATCTTCTCTTGGAAACATTCCATCACAGCGCAGCCAGAAAATCAGTGCAGAGTTGGCAAAACGGGCTTGTTCTTCTGCTTCAGAGTTCAGCTTTTGCGCTTGAGTGCAGTATCACAGAGTTAACCCCAATACTATTTGATTTTGCTTGGATTAAATCTTCAGTTATTAAAGTTTTCATCAGGAAAAAAACAGATGTGATCAGTTTCTCCCTTTGTTTTTTGTAGATTCATGACCGGACTGCTCACTGGAGAAGCTTCTTAATAGATCTTACGACCAAAAAAGACCATAATTGGTCCAAAATAGAAACGTTCTCAGAAGCCTGTACAGGTGAAGACTCCGCGCCGGAAATTTGGTCAGTTGACCAAGGTAAACTTTATAAACCAGAAAGCATTGTTCCTAAAAAAGTAGAACCTGTGCCATCTAGTGTCAGTAATGCAGAAGACACCGATCGCTCCCTTTTATACTTGTAGTGTCAGTTATCGCCAGAAAACTGCGCAGTTTTCCCAGGTCGTAACAGGCCAAATTACCTCAAATGTGAAGCTCTGCAGCGGAGGGTCATCTTGCTGCAGGAGGGCAGGAGTTACCGGCACTGCGGTCGCGGGAGAGGAGCAGAATTCTCGACAGATTTTATGCCGGTTAGATCTGAGGTCTGCAGAGTTTTTATTTTTTCGCACACCCCCCCCCCCCGGGCACATTACAGGGTATCAACGTGCGAAAGCGTACGCGGGTGCGGGGCCGTCGCTGGAAATTACCGCTCGGGTTTGTAATAAAGATGCGCTCACAGCGCCGGTTCCCGCCCCTCCCCGAACTGTTTTTTTGGTTTTGGGTTTTGTTGGTTTTGGTTTTGGTTTGGTTTGTTTTTTTTTTCGCGTGGATTTTGCCCGCAGAAAACTCGGTTAATCGGAGTCAGGAAAGAAACGCGTGGCTGGCGCTTGGGGGGCGGGGGCGGCCGCGTTGCCCGGCAACGCGAGTGACGCCGCTTCCTGCGCTGCCGCGCCTGCGCCGTCGCCGCTGTGAGGGCGGGGCGCGGCGCTTCCGGCCGCCGCCCGCAGGCTGCGCGGTGAGGCCCGGCCCGGCCCGGGGCTGCCCGGTGAGTGCGGGGAGCGGCGGCGGGCCCGGGCTCCCACAGCCCCCCCCCAGCCCCTCTGGCAGCCGCGGCCCTTTCCGAAGTGGAGAAGGAAGCGGAGGGCGGCGGGGGGGACACGACCTCCCTCAGGAGCGGGTGGGTAGCCCCGTCGCCTGTCCCCGGTGCGGGCGGCCAGCGGGGTGTCCTCTCCCTGTCAGGCTTCGGGTGGTTCCTGCTCGCTCTTCTCGCCGGGGAGCGGTGTGCCTGGGGGCTGCAGCCCGCCCTCGGGCCGCTGTGGCAAGCAGGGAAGGCCGAGGAAGAAGCCTGCTGAGGAGGAGGATGGAGGGCGACTGGCCTTGTCACCTGAGCGGTGGGGAAGCATACGGCCGTGCCCCATCCATCCTCCTTCCATGCAGGAGTCTCCTGGCCTGCTCCCGGGTCGGACACAAGGGCTGCCGGCTCTCTGTGGGGTGCTCTAGCCTGGTACCTAAAACGGGCTGGCTGGGGCTCTGCTGCAGGGTGCTGTCCTTTGCTTCAGCAGGTGTAACTTCTCCCTCAGCCCTGCGGACGGCGCCTGTCGTCACGGTGCTATTATTGTTTTGGTAGCTGGAGCAATCCTAAATGAGGCAGTTGGGTGCCTAGCAGTAATTTCTCTTTCTAGACTGCGTGGAGTTGGTGGTGCAGAAGGACAGACAAGCTTGTGAGTCTGCAAGTACTTCTCTTACACCCAGCTGGCTCTTCTTGTCTCTTTTTCAGCTAGTTTTGCCTCTGGAAGGGGACACATACGTGCAGTGTATGGTGACTGACCTTACAAAAGTTTTGCTTTTCTCTATCTCCGTTTCACAGGCTAGTTCTAGCGAGCAGGCTCTTTGCAGGTTTTCAGGCCTTGTCTTTTTTAAGGTTAATATATCATACTTGTGCTGAAGACGTCCTGCCAGCCCTGTGCTCAGCAGCTCAGTATACTGAGCAAGGCAATGAAAAGCCTTCACAGCGCAACGTATCTTACTGTACATATTGGATTACTGCTCCTCCTCCGAACAAATTCCAAACCAGTGGAAGGCTAGCAGTGAGAGTGAATGATCTCTTTTCACGGTGGCTTTTGATTCTGAAGAACAGGAGGTTTCTGCTTTGAAACCTTAAGAAAAACGGAATTGGCCCAGTGAGTCTGTTAACACACGTGTCTGTGGTCAGCTCCCGAAATGAACAGCTCGCCGAGGACAGTTATGAGCTCATTCACCCCAGTGGGAGAAGTTTGTGGTTTGGGTTCTTGTTTCCTGCTGGGGATCGATGTTTTCGGCATGTGGCCACAGCTTTTGCTCTGTGCTCTAATGGAAAATAGATGGATGGTTGTGAAATAACATAAATAGTTCAAAAATAATTGTATTGGGGTGGGGGGGAAGCTTAATTCATCCTCAAATACTTGGAGTGCCAGTGTGTTGTGTAACTAGAAGGAAAAAAAAAAATCACAGAGTGGATGTGGAAAAAGGGAAGCAAAGTTTAAACATAATTTTTTGTGCTAATTTGTAAGAATCAGCCTTTCAGTCAGGAGTCAAATCATGTCATTCTCATTCATACAATGTTTCTGTCAAAACTGAAGTGTAGCATTGGGGTCTGCGTATAAAAGTGGACAATGCTTTGAGAGGCTTGGTGAGCTCTGAGCTGGCACAGCTGATTCTTTGTCCACTTCCAGGGTCTTTTATAGGTGTAGTAAGTGTAACTCAGTAACAGTGGTTTTAGGTATTTGTTAGAATAATGTTAATAGAACTGTTTAAATCTTAATAGTAAGCTTACTGAGCTGAAGATTCAAAAGCTAGGAAACAGGAAGGGTTTGGTTCTGAGAGTAATCTTTTTCTGTAGAATCCAAGGTAGGGGTTTGGGTGCCCGCAGTGGATTGTGTTTTTTGTTCTCCCACTTGCTTGTTGCATGAGGTTGGGGAAAGGATTCTGCTTCCCTCAGATCTTGTCTGCCTTATCTGTAAACTCCTTAGGGCAGGGGCTCCCTGTGGCTTTTTACCTTGTGTAGTAGCAAGTCTATGAAGCTTTCATTTTACATGGCTACTAATAATCCCCATGAATCTGCGTATTTTGGAGCTGTCCGTTTTTACAGTTTCTTGAAAATATTTTATCAAAACTGTTTTAACAGAACATTGAATTGGGATGCGAGTCTAACTTTTGATTTGCTGAAACAAGTATGGGCTAACATTGGAGTTTATAGCTCTGCAGGAGGAGAAAAAGTATCTCTTTGTGATGCTATGAATATTATTTTTGTGTCTCCCATGCTTAATATGGCTTCCTTACTGTTATATTAATACTAATTTTGTTCCATTTGTACACTGATTTTTTTATTTATCTTTCTGAGCAAGATTTCCAGTGTCCTGTGGATAAAAGGCTGCAAGTCTATGGTACCTGAGCACGTACAGAGAAAAGAAACCTTGGTTAGCTTTTAGGAAGTGGAAAGAAATTCTTCCAGTTCAAAATGCATGTGTACATAGCTGTTAGGAGCACCATGAAACTCAATAGATTGCACGGCAGGGTGTTGCTCAGAGTGTCTTCAGAGGTCACAGAAATTGTTCTGGGACCAAACTTTTTTTAAAAAAAAAACAAAACAAAACAAAAAACATTAGTTCTTCTGAGAACTTCGAAGCAGCATAAAACATGACTTGGAAATGTGACATGACCTAAACAGTAGTGGAAATGGTGAAGCCCTTGTAAGGCTATAGATGGGCATTCAAAATTTAGAAGCTGCAAGTCCATCTTGAGTGATGAATTTCTTACAAAAGTAAAACACTCTGGGGAAGTTTCATGACTTCTTAGGTTTACAGTTTGAGAATACGGTTATGCAGTCTCCTATGCGTTGATCGGTTAAGCATTTGGAATTTTATCAAAGTCTTGTTTAAAAGTCTTCCCTCGAAAGCCTGTTTAAGGAAGTGTTTGTTTAGGATTGCAGTTAACTTTTACTTCATCTTACCTTTCTCTTATTGCCTGATTAGGAGGGAGAATAATTTCTTAATTCCACATTTAATGAGAATATTTCTTTTGATCTTTCTCTGTTTGCTTTGTCCCTATTACAGGTTCTAATAGTCTCTAGTGTTTCAGGTAAAATTACAGTCGAGATTTAATCTCAGATTAACTTCAGAGAAATCTCTCTGTGTGACTGGCAGCTTGGTTTTAGGTATGACCTCTTTGGGTGACGCTTTTGAAATCTGTGCTTCTAGCCAGGCTTTTCACAATGTTCTTTTGAAAGCCTGGTCTCTTAGGCTCAAGCACCTGAAGTGCTTAAATCTGAAGTAAAGCACTCTTGAAATCTGGAGGTAACTTTCGCCTGCTGAAATCTTTTGAGTTTTGTTAACTTCCATGCAAATAGCTAATGTGCAATGTTGTCAACAGCTTTTTGCAGAGAGAAGAAAGATGGAAAGTAATGCAGTTTTACTGGAATCCAAGTCCTCTCCTATCAACCTTCTGAATGAAATGCATCAGCTGCGTCTCCTGGGCCACCTCTGCGACGTGACCGTCAGCGTGGAGTATCAAGGTGTCAGAGCAGAGTTCGTTGCTCACAAGGCTGTACTGGCAGCAACAAGCAAATTTTTCAAGGAGGTGTTCCTTAATGAGAAGGGCATGGACGGCCCAAGGACCAACGTGTTCTTGAATGAGGTCCAGGTTGCTGATTTTGCATCATTCCTTGAGTTTGTCTACACTGCTAAGGTAGAAGTGGAAGAAGACAGAGTGCAACGCATGCTAGAAATAGCCGAAAAGCTGAAGTGCTTGGACCTCTCAGAAACCTGCTTTCAATTAAAGAAGCAGATGCTTGAATCGGTGCTGCTGGAATTGCAAAACTTCTCTGAATCACAGAACTCTGAGGAAGAGAGCGCTACCCAGCCAAGCGTTTTGCTCGAGTCCAAAGCAGCTGCTGTGGCAGAAGCTGACCAAGCAGACTGTCTCCTGGATCCTCCAGATTCCCCGGTAGACAGGCCCAGCAATGGAATGTCTCCTGAGATGCCAGCTGCCAAATCAAAAGAGAAAATGGACAAAAAGAAGGAAATTATGAAGCCTCCCTATGCCAAAATCAGAAGGGCGAGTGGGAGACTGGCTGGGAGGAAAGTATTTGTGGAAATCCCAAAGAAGAAATACACAAGGCGGCTGAGGGAGCAGCAGAAGAACGCAGAGGTTGCTGCTGAAGAAAAATATCCTCAAGGTCAGGATATGTGTGATACGGAGAGGGAGGAAGAGCAAGCGGAGAACATCATCAAACCTGAAAGCGAAGAATGCGATGGCAACTTTGAGTTGGAAGAAAGCCTGAAAAAATCCGAAGAGGATAAAAAGAAACGAGGCAGTAACTTCAAGTGCAGCACGTGCAAGAAGGAATTCCTGTATGAGAAAAGTTTTCTGAAGCACATAAAGCACAGCCACGGCATTGCGGCCGAAATCATTTATCGGTGCGAAACCTGCAGTCAGACCTTTGCCAACCGGTGTAACCTAAAAAGCCATCAGCGCCATGTCCACAGCAGCGAGCGCCACTTCCCTTGTGAGCTCTGCGGTAAGAAGTTCAAGAGGAAGAAGGACGTCAAGAGGCACATTCTCCAGGTTCATGAGGGTGGTGGGGAGCGTCATCAGTGCCAACAGTGTGGAAAGGGGTTGAGCTCCAAAACTGCCTTGAGGCTCCATGAAAGGACGCATACAGGCGACAAGCCTTATGGGTGCACAGAGTGTGAGGCTAAATTTTCTCAGCCTTCTGCACTTAAAACACACATGAGGTATGAACAGACTTAACTGGCCTTGTTAGATTCTGGGGGGAGAAGCAGAATCCCCTGGAACACACCTTGAGCCTTCAAGTGAAGTGGGGATGTAAAAACGTGACTGACTGGAAAGTGTCCATATTGCCTTTTATCATAGCTTTTTTTTCTTTTTTTTCTCCTGCTTTTCAGGTTAAGGGAGTTGCTGTAATTTTCTTTAAGTCAGAGTTAGAGGTGCATGGGTGAGGCCTGCTGCTGCTGCTGGAGCACACAGTTAGCTTTTCTCATGGGAGTAGAGCTATTAAGAGTCAATGGGATGTTTCACGTGAGAAAAGCAACCCCCATGCCGAGTTATTAGCAGGATTAGGGATATAATTATTTCAGCTTATTTTATGTCTCTTTATATTCAATAGAGTAATGTTATTCGATAAGTATGAAAATATTCTAAAAAGATTTGGCTGCGTGTTAAATTGAAGAACGCCAGATTTGGGTGCTAAGCATAGAAAACAACTGGTGCGTGACTAGAAACAGGCTGACACGTCACCGTCTGGAGGTGAGTGAAGCACCAAAGACACCCACACAGAACTGATGAAATCAGTTGTAGTGCTTATATTGCACTGAGGCTCAAAGGTTGGAGGTACAGACGTGTGTTTTTTAAAGTTCATGGGGGAGATGTTTTTATCAAGGCAAAAATTCTAGCTATTAAGGGCTCTAGCCTGCTTTTATCAGTCTGCCAAAAGGGTCATCTGCAACCAAAGTTCAGATTATAGCCAGGGAGTAAGTGTGGAGAGAAAGGTATAGAAAAAATACCCCAGAGTACTACTGCTCAGACCCAAAAAAGAGAAAGCAGTAGTGTCAGCATGTTCCTGCGGGGCAGAAGGGTTCATTAACCACCGCTTTGTTTCGCTGCCCCTTTTGAGGTCAGTGGGTTTTACTCCTCGGGGGTAGAAAGTGCATCCAGAAGCAAACTCCTGCTAGAGTGCTCCTACGATGTTACTGCTGATGCAGCTGTGTGGCATCTCTTTCACTGTGTGTCCTTTCCTAACCGCAAGTAACTGCTTTGCACTGCTTAAAAGATCATTTTTTGGCATAAACGGAGTTTCTCCTCCATTGTGTACCACTAGGCCTATTCAGTGAGCTTGTCAAATGCTGGAAACTCAGTGCCACCCTAACGTGTGGATCGTGACGGTCTGTGGTGGGAATTTCTCATCATTTTTGTATGCATTTTTACATCTGTGCTCTTCCTGTTGATGTATACTGCCATGAAAACTGGCCTCTGTTGGCTGTGTTCCTGAAGCACTATTCAAAAGAGCCCTGAAGCGTTCATGGGCTCAAAAATTTAAACTAGAGTAAACTAGCAGAGGGACCAATTCTGTAAACTGCCCTTCCTGTGCACACAGCCTTCCTCGGGAGATGATACCACAAGTTTGGGGTGACAGTAAGAAAACTGACAGTATAAAAGCGGCATTTTATTCTACTCCTTGGGTGCCACTTGCTCCAGAGTAGCCAGTGACACTCTACCTGATGGCCCTGCAAGAACACGTCGCTCACAGTCAGTGTGGAATATTTTACTGATAGCATCAGTGATATAAAGATACCTGCGTTGCTTCCAATCCCAAGAAACAGTTACATTTTTCTTTCAGTCTGACTACCTGCATACAAGTTTTCTAAACTTTACTCAATTTTTACCTTTAAAAATTTTTTTATACCCTAAAGAAGTTTGTGGGCCTGGGCCTTGATCATGCAGCACGTGCATGATTGAGCAATAAAAAGCAGCACTGCAGAAACCACAATGCAGAATTTGGCCTGGCTGAAGGTATTTTTAAAAGACACTAAAACTTGGGCAGGCATACAGTCGCTCTTCAGAGAACAGCCACAAAGTAAAGATGACTTACGTTGTGTTGCAAAGGAAAAAAAATACCATGGTGCTTTAATGTTGCTTTCTCGTTTCAGAATCCATACTGGCGAAAAACCTTTTGCCTGTGACGAATGTGGTGCCAGGTTCACTCAGAATCACATGCTCATATATCACAAGCGATGTCACACAGGTAAGGCTTTCTTTTGCAACGTGCTATGTGTAGGAGGAGGCCTGCTGTGAAACTGCGGGATCTTATTTTCACTCAGCGGTTTGTTGTTGTTGTTTTTTTTTTTATATATAAAATCGGATATTCTCATCCCCAGACATGATTTTACTGAGAAGGGTTCCTATGGGCGGATAGGCAGACAGCAGAGAGAGTGAAAGGAGCAGGTTAAAGAGAAAAGGAGTTCCCATCTGGCTGGGGTCCAGCATCCGAAGTGCGGGCTGGGGCTGCTTTGGACTGTCTTCGGTATCCAGAGATCTGTTATTGATAAAAGGTCTAGTTGAATTCTTAAGAGAAAAATTTCTCTGTAAGTCTGGAACAGTTTGACCAAGGAATGTAAAGCAGCTGTCTTGGCTTATTCTGATCTTCTTAAAATCATGTGTCCTTCTCCCAGGTATCCTCCGCGGTGTAAATTGGTGTTTTGAATTGACCCAGCGTGCCACCCGTGCGTCGTGTGTGGTGCTTGATTGTCCTGTCTTTAAACGGTCTGCCTTCATCAGTAATTTGTACCTAAATGTGGATGGCAGAAAACATTAAATTACAATGAAATATAATTTCAAGAACGCTTTTTTGAGGCACGTGTAACTAAAATTGGCTGCTCACAGGTGGAGGCCTTTCATCAGAGGCACGCAGCATTATGTTTATGATGAGAGTAAGCCAGGATGCTCCAGAGGTGGTGAGGAGACTGCTGGCTGCACAGCTCCCTGCACTTTTCATACACTGTGCAGTGCTGCCAGCGTGCCACTGCCGCTGGAGAGGTGCGGTTGCCCTTGCTCTCGCTGGGGTTTGTGCAGGTTTCTGGCAGGAAAGCTCCGTGCCTTAACGGCGAAACCACTGCTGTCACTGTGGCCCGTTCAGATCCTTGTGTGAGGCTGGTGTCTGGTTCGTTTGTACCTAATAACCTTCAGCTTTTGCTTGTGAGGGTTAATTCTCCTCTTTGCCCTCGCTGTAGGGGAACGGCCTTTTATGTGTGAAACGTGTGGGAAGAGCTTTGCCTCTAAGGAGTACTTGAAGCACCATAACCGAATCCATACTGGATCCAAACCGTTCAAATGTGAAGTTTGCTTCAGGACATTTGCACAGAGGAACTCACTTTACCAACATATAAAAGTTCACACAGGTAGGAGGTGCTCTTTTCATATTTGAAACAGTTTAAAGATGTAGACCTCACAGTTACTTAATTCAGACAGGGGATTTTTCAGCTAGGGTTTCCCATTACTTTCATTCCTACCCTGCACACGCGTTTTGATTCTTGATGCAGTGTGTTCCTTCACCAGCTTCCCTTCTAGCACGCCCCATGCTTCTCACTGAGTTTCAGCAATTCTCTGAAATACTGTGCAGATACTGTTAACAATGTTGCCAGGACTACTAGTGACTAGAGAACTATGTCTGTTTTAACTCTGAGCTTCTTCTTGTCCTCTTGCCCACCTTTCATGTTTGCATCCTGCTTGGATTTTCTCTTCAGTGTCTGTTTTATTCCCATCTGCTCCTCTGGTTTTTTGAGTAGAAAGCAGTGCCCACAGGTATAGTAACACTGATTTTCAAATGGTGCTGTCGGTGTCACATGGGCTTTGTGTCAGTGTGGAAGGATGAGAGAACATCCACTTTCACTCATTGCAGCCTTAGCTTTTCTCTCCATTTTATATTCTCTCTCACCCTGCCTCTTCAGAAGGACAGCACTCTGGTTTCTTCCTAGTGCTAGCGCGAAATTTCATCGCTCCCATAGTCCGAGACATGCTTTTACTCAAGTTGTCTTGCTCGCTCTCTCCAAGTCCACGTTACTCAGCGATACAGCAGGTTACAAACAATCAGGTTGCTCTTGTCACATAACAAACACCACACTTTCTTACCCAACACGACCCCGTAGGAAGTGTCCTTGCCAATATTCTCTGTTACCAACATCCGTGCGTGGCTGCCGTGCCTTGCTCTTTCCTTCCTGCACGTGTGTCTAGCGTGGCGTTGGTGTAGGGGGAGCAGAGGATGTCAGCGTGGCAGTGCTGATATGAATGGATTTTTTCCTGGTCTAGAATGTCATCTCTCCTTCTGTGACACCACTTGCAGCTGTTAGAAAGCTTTTTGGCATCCCTTTTTCTACCTCACCCAAGGAAGGAGTAAAGGTGTGGTTGTTTCGACAGGCGCTTAACACGGTGACTGCAGCAAGAGTTTGTGATGTATTTGGGGGTAACCTGGTGGTTCGTGCTCACAGAACGTACCTTGTGAATAGGAAAACTTGTGTTCTGGGACAGAACTTTAGTTGCTAATGGGAAACACGTGTAAAAAAATGTGGAGGGTTCAGCGGTGGCACGGATTTGTGCAGGCTGCGCTTACTCTGTAAGTGTCTGCTTACTTCAGATATGTCAGAATACACCCAGCTGTGAGAGCTCTGAAAACATTGCTTGTTTGGGTTTTGTTGGTTTTTTTTTTGTTTTTTTTTGGGTTTTTTTTTTTGTTTTTGTCTTTGGTTTTGTTTTTTTTTTTTTCTTCTGAAGATGCTTGCGTGTGCCTTACCGTTTCGCGCCGTACAGGGGTTACTCGTGGCTCCCCGGGGGGCAGCGCCGGTAGCTGCCGGGGGCCCTAACGCCGCGCTCTGCCCTCAGGTGAGCGACCCTACTGCTGCGACCAGTGCGGGAAGCAGTTCACGCAGCTGAACGCGCTGCAGCGGCACCACCGCATACACACCGGGGAGAAGCCCTTCATGTGCAACGCCTGCGGGCGAACGTTCACCGACAAGTCCACCCTCCGACGGCACACTTCGGTAAGAACCCGCCGTCCCGCTGCCTTGTAGCCCGCCAGCCTGCCTCCGTGGCCACGGAGCGACCTGGCAGCTTTGCCAGGCCCGGAGGGGGCTTCTGTCCGGTTTTCGTTGGGTTCAGCACATCGTCCTCTCTCTGACACGGCATTTCAAAGGGTTTGTGTTCAGTCCCGAGTCTGCGGCGAGGCCGTTCTCAATCCACCGTGGTGTAGCCCACACCTGAGGACTGTTGAGTCACAGATTTGTTCCTCTGCGCGTTTGCCATGCCGCTGGCAAGTGACAGGAGAATCCCCTTTGGGCCGGGCTCTGCCGGACCGGTGTGATACTTTAGGAGAACTGGAAGCTCCCCAGGGAAACAGCTCGGTGCGTGGGTGTGTACTGACCTAGTTTTGGTATAGTTATGTGGGGTGAAAAGAGAGACCTTTTCTACCAGCATCAGGCATGAGCTGGATCCAAGTTTTTGCCACCCAGACAGTCACCGGGTGTTCAACCTTCTGTTTTTTGTTTTTACTTTTTCAGATACACGATAAAAACACACCCTGGAAGTCCTTCCTTGTCATTGTTGAGGGAGCATCTAAGAACGACGAAGGCCACAAAACAGAGCTTCCCGACGAAGAATATGATGTGTCACCTAAAATACCAGAGAAGCTGCTGTCTTTCTCTGAAAACAGCCACTATCAGCACTTGACTGCTGTCCCGGGGAGCGTGACGGCGCTGCAGGACCCCGGTTCTGCCACAGGACCTGACTGTAAGTCAGACGGGACTCCAGGAGCCCAGGAAGCCCTTATAGCCACCACGCTGAGCGAGCTGACAGTGCTGCACTCACAGACAGACTCTCTCCAGCCACAGCTTCACGCTCTGGTGAATATGGAATAATTTGGTATTTCCAAATCCACTTTAAGCTGCACCATTTGTATAGTCCTTTGACTTTGCCAACTACCTGCTGAGGGAACTAGGAGCAGCCAAACAAGGAAGCAGGGCTAGACGTGAAAGACACACGCTGGATTTCCAGAATTGCCTCCCAAAAAGTCATTCCCACCCCCGGCGTGTACGGCTCCATCTCCTGAAGGTAGGGCAGAGCAGCACCACACCAGGGTGGTGGCAGAGGCGGTGAAAATCCCAGGGAGTTCACTCCCTACAGACAAAAGGGTGTAGTTCAGGTGGTTGGCTCTAGCTGGCCTGCAGTGACAGGAACTACCAGCAGCGGGAAAGGTTGTGGAGAAGGTGCCAGTTTGTTTTGCAGTTGGTGACACGTGTACAATCGAGAGAAATGACCATGTGTTTCTCAGAAATGAAATTAATTGCGTTTTCCCTCGTGGGAATTCATACATGGAGTAAGTGTTACTGAATTACTTTTCAGGAAGTGTTGGTTTATCTCTGTTGTTGCCAAAGATCCAAGATGTGGCGTTTCATTCCAGGGGTTTTGATTCTTTAGTAGCAAAATGGGCAACTGGGAGCCAAGTGCTGCATCTACAGGTGCTGGTATTATTTTTTTTTTACATTTTGGTGCAACCTGGTGCAGTTGGACACTTGGGTTCAGTCAGATACTCTTCCTCTTCTAACTGCTTCAGCTTTCAGAGAACTTGGCCATTAAGAGACCAAAACACCTCATGTAAAAACGTCTATGAAAAGTAAGTGCAGAGAGACAGTTTATTGGCATTCTCCTGTGAGCTTGTAGCCAAGCTGTGTTCTGCTGGCTGGGGGCGGTCAGCACCGCTCTCCCCGCCACCACCACTTACACAGAACTGCAGACCTGCTTCTAGAGGAAGTAACGCTCCGCTGGGAACAGTTAATTACTGCCCTGCTGCTGAGCTGCTACAGCTAATCCCACCAGCACAGGAGTCTCCAGAGGTAAATGCCCTTCCAGATGGGAGGCAGTCAGGGTTCATAAGCCTAATGGCATAAAAAAAGATGCAAATAAGTGAAAAATGTACGGGACCATGGCTGGGATTTCCCAGCCTGTGAGTACTCTGTGCTGGATCCCCTCTGAGAATCACACTTCTATTTGGGCACTTTGTTCCCAGACAGATGGATCTTCCCTTATTATCCCCTCCCTTCCTCTTGTCCTCCCAGTCACCCCAGTAGCTGGGGAGAATTAGTGTCCAGGGAGAAGGTTCTTTTGGTTGAGCTCACCTGAGCACTGGGGAGGATTCGGGGCATTTTCCCTGCACAGGGAAAGAACAAAGCATCATTGGGCTGGCTCTTGGTTTTGGGAGCAGCTGCAAATCGGTGGCAACTTGCCGGTGCAGTTAACGTGTCAAACTGGGGCCCACATTCCCAGTGCCACCATGTGAAAATCTGGAGCTTTTCTAATTCATTTTTCTGTTTTGCTTTTCTGTTTGTTTTACTATTGCTGTAGTATTTCCACAGAAACTTTCTCAGCTGAAGCTGCAAGAAAAACTTTGAGAGATTGCATTAGTGTAAAGGTAAGCACAATCAAGCCTTGCTAGGGCTTAGGGGTTGGCAAAGCAATAACGATACCAAACTGTGGCACAGAGCTATTTTTGAACCTTAAAGGGACGTCTGCTGTGTTACTGTGGAATCGTAACTTAATCTATAGAAAGGGAATTTTTTTAAAAGAGCACATTTCCAAGAGGTTATATTTGAAATATTTATTCAAGCACGCTGTTCCTGTTGAAGCTCGGTATTCCCTGTGACCCATGTAAAGAGTTTGTAGATATATTTAAAGTCTGAGCATTAGCGCCTGTAGCCAGGGACCCTTTTGTACTCCATGAATGTGCAGAAGTGAGTTACTCGTATGAATTGTTCTTATTAAAATATTGAAATCTGAAGACTTGACCCTTCCCCTGCCTCGATCAAATGTTTCTCTGCCCTCCACACACTGCCCCAGCGCTGGGAACGCTCCACAACCAGGGCTGAGGGGTGCCACTTCTTCCTCGGGCCCGTCCCCCTGCCAGGGTGACACTGCCCAGATGAGGTGTGAAGGAAACACACCTGAAAAAAACGGGAAATGGGACAGGGCTGTTTCTTACAGGTGCTACACCAGGCAATGAAGTGGGTGACAGTGCCCCTAAAGTGCTTCTTCCAGGGGTATTCCCCTTTAACGGGACACCAATGGAAAGGCAGCGCCCTGCTCCCTGGCTTTCATCATCACACCCTTGGGCTCCAGGCCAGGCTTCTGCCTTCTCCAGGAAAAAACATTTAGCACTACTTACATTCATGATTTTCACTTTATTAATGTACAGATTCACACAAAACATTATATTCTTGCTAAGGCCATTTCATGAACAGGTTTTCATAGTACAGAGTTGTGTACTGGGGGGAAAATACAGCAGAGTGGCAGATCGTCACTTTGAAACTGTCACAATTTACCACTGGTACACCGGAGGACATGCTGTAGCCTACTTACACAGAACTAACATTTCTATTTTAATGACACTACTCCAGAGCACAGTAACAGACCACACAACCCCCTGGTACGGGCTTCTGCTCCACCAGCTCCCTCTGCATCTTCTCACACCTGTCCCTAATACTGACACCAGGAAAAGCAAATGCAAAAAAAAAAAAAAAAAAAAAAAGCATAAAATACTCGCCTCAGTTCTGCATAAAGCTCAGGGCCTGTGGGGCTCCAAAGGCACCGGCCGCAAGTCCAGATAAAGGCTGGGTCTGTGCTCCCTAAGGAAATGCATAAATGAAACAAAACCGCATCCTTTTACCCCAGTTCAGCAGCAAGGAGATAAAATCAGCAGCTCATCCAGCCTTTGCTGTGAGGGTGGCCAGCTGCGGCCGCAGCGCCTCTGCCCAGCGGAGGTGGCACAAGCACACGGAGGCCGTGGGCACAGGCCAGGACTGCGCGCTAAGTGGGATTTAGAGGACTTCTTGGCTGAGTTTGTGAGACACGGTGGGCTCAGCCAAAGCGAGGGTTGTGATCACGAGCCTTAAACACTCGTCTGAGAAGTGAAGAACCTGAAGTTGCTTGGAAGAACATTTACTGTGCCCTCGCCTGGCTGGTTCTGTACAGCTCACAGGTCTTTCCTATCGCGTTAGGATGCACACAAGAGTCTCTGGAAAATAAGTAACCAGGAAGAGCAATCAAGAAAACAAAAATAATAATTTGGCATGTACCAGGAGCGGTTTTTGGTTTTCCTTTTCATAAGCCAGTGGTGAAGTACCACTTCAATAGAACTAAACCCTTTTTACCAAGGAGCTGAATACTGTGTTCTACCCAAATACCTAGATTAAAAACAAACCCAAGAGAAGAGCAAAAAGCTGGCATTTTGGTCACCAGAGAAGAGACAAGGGGCAGTGCTGGCTGAAGCTGCCTGCTGGGGGCTACTGCAATACTCCCGCTCTAGCCCTGGAAGAGGACCCACTTAAAACAGTTAATTAATTACCTTTTTGTTCTTTGCACAGCTGAAAATCACTTCATTGCAGAGAAAGAGCAAGTGACAGCTCCCCCTGCCAAAGCACACAGGCTCCGATCCCCTCCACACGCACACATGAAGTAACAGGTACCTCCATCCTCTCTAATCGAACACAGCAAAGCCCTGCTCGCAGACATTTTAAAAACTCATTTCTAAGACTACTGCAGGAATATGTAAAGGCGTCTACACCTTTTTCAAAGCAAGCTGGATTCATCTGGCACCCAGACACCTAGAACAAGGTTCTGTAGAACATCACATCTCGGCCAGCGCCTCTGCGCATCCCAGGGACGAGGTGGCTTTGCCGAGAGGTCAGGAGCTAACGGGTCTCACCCAGCACACACAAGAGACCTGCACTAGAGCCAGCAGCAGGAGTTCATGGAAATGAAAAGTTAGAAAAATAGATTATTACTCAGGTCGAGTCATCTCAGGGTAGGAGGGATGGGATGCACCACAAAATAAAGTGGAAAAATAGATCCAAGAAAATAGAGGAGAGCCTTATGTTTTATATTTAGATCAGAAATACAAAATACTCTGTTCACTAGGTCTGCTCGCGCCAGCTGTCCCCAAGGCAAGCAGCCCTGTAACCCTCCCAGCGCCCGGTCGCGAGGTGCGCTGTACTTACACGAGCACACATGTATCTGTACAGGATGTATACACACACATGCATACTGTCTATACGAGTCACAAAGCCTTTTGCTAGGGCTATTAAAAAAGCTTGATCGTTTAAAAAAAAAAAAGAAATAAAAGATCCAAGTGTCTCTGACAGCGGTCGTTTAGGAACAGAAAACAGTAACAATACAGCAACAGAGCAGAAGCAATTACTGGTACCGTACTGGCACGGATGGAATATTTACAGGCTGAAATCAATGGTACTGAGCCTTAAGACAGAACAGCAGGAAAAAACAGCAGTTGCAAGAGCAGACTTTGGGTTCCCCCAGCTAACAAAACAGGATTTCTGCCCGCAGCGCTGCTTTTGCCTTGGAAAGATCTGCCGGTGCCACCCAGAGCATCGCTTCTCACCTACCCACGTTGTCACGACACAGAGCAAGGTACTAAAGAAACACACAAGTCATTGGATTTGTAAGCAACAAAACAAAGCTAGAGATTTTTTTTTATCAGGTATCCCGTAGTGGTCCTTGGCTGTAGCACAAGAACCGATTACTTAGGCTGCATGCCGCAGATACCACGCACAATTCACTTCAGGTCCCCATCCCCTTCTCCCTGGATTGACTTTTTGATGCGAAGCAACATGGTTGTCAGCCACTGATCCAACCGCGATATTGAATCGAACTCTTTAACCTGTTAGAAAAAGAGTGATGTTTTAAATGGAGAGATTAGAAAGCAAAGGAGCCTGCTGCAAAAGCAGCATTCCGCAGCTCTTCAAGTGCCATCTTTTAAAACTTCTACTCTTCCCAGGGAAATAATAAAATAAAACAAAACAAAAATATCTCCAAAAAAGCAGAGCACTTTAAGCCGTTGTCAAACCCCAAAAGGAGCTGGAGCAGAACCAGGCAGGATCTTTACTGAACTCTCAGTGATACACTAAAGAGGCGGCTCTGCTCACGTCCGTCTCTCCAGGGGTGGTTCGGGGCAGGACGGTGAGGCAGCGAAGCGCCCGGTGTTTTGTCCCGCTGGACTCGGCCACAGCCCTCAGAGCTCGGGCAACCAGTTACCCAACGTTTCACAAAGCACACGCGCCAGGAAAAAAATAAAAAAGGAACAACCCGTGATGCACGAGCGTGCTTTAGCAACCGCGTGACTACTTACTGCCTCAGTGTATGCCTCGCAGTTCTGCTCCTCGTGGGCTTCCAGCAGTTTCTAGGAGAACACCGTTAAAATTTAGAAAATACTCTGCTTTGGCATGTTCCCGCAGGGCCAGCGCGTGGGCATCTCGTCCCCGGGGCAGAGGGGGCCGGGGCAGCCACGCGTCCAGCAGCGGCACCTTCGCAACCTACCCGAACCGCCCGCCGTGAACACAGAAACAGTTTGGGTTGGGTTGGGTTTTAGATTTGAGAGAATCATTATCTTTCTGCTGCAACCACTTCCCCAAGCCTGGTGTAAACCCAGTGCAAAGCGAGTCTGATGGCCTCCGAAGCGTTTGAATAAACGACCCAACCCATGGCAAAGTGGAAAAGCACAAAGGAGAGGGCAGTATGCATTGTCAAGCGTGACTATTTTTAATAGTGCATTTACTCACTTTCAATAGCTTGCACTCCCGTGAATCTGTGAACGCTGGGAACATTTCTTCATATTTCTCGAGTGCAAGCTGAAAGAGAAAAGACAACACTCAGTTTCACACAAAACGACTCGCTTTTTATTGCAGTTTTTGCCTTCCACTCCTAAAACTGCACAGGGAGCTTGGGAAAAGTATTCACAGTAAGTCCAATTCCACGCTACGGCACTTGCCGCTCCAGTCCCCGGGCACGCAGGACCGTGTCTCAGCCGTCAAAGGCTGGTGAAGAGGGGTGCTGAAGGTTTGGGATAACCACTGACCTTCGCGTTCAGCTCATCCACGATGAAGTGGCACAGAGCAGCTTTGAAGAAATATTCTTTTGCGCTGTACTTCAGCAAAGGATTATCCATCGTGTTGGTTCCAACCTAGACACAAAAAGAGATGATTGGAGTTGGGACAGAAAACCGCGTCATTAAGAACAGAATTAAAAACAGGACAGCTGATTAAAATAACATGCAGCACCACACAGCTGGCTGTGAATAAAGACCGTGGGGAAAAAAAAAAATGCTGTTGTCTTGTACAAAAAGCTATTGGGAAAACAGACAGGTTGTTAACTCATCCCAAGGGAAGTCAGAGACTCGCAGGCAGCTGCGAGAGCGCAGCCACGCAGCCCGGCCCAGGGCACCGCTGCATCAGCTCAGGGGTGCCACGCTGGTACCTCGGCGTGTCCCGTCTGAGGCAGGAGGGGGAGAGCAAGTCGTCCCAGTGGAAACCTGCTCCAGGATTAAGCCTCCGGGAGCACAAAAGCAGCACTGCAAGCATTGCCAGGTCAATACCTGGCACGAAGGCAGAGCAATCCAGTTTACAGATTTGGGGGAAATTTTCTGCCAGCTGCATTTGTAAATACGATCGAAAGTGTAATTACAGACTTCCTTCTCCCTGCTTCCCCCAGCCTTTCTCTAGAAACAGCAGAATTCACGGGAAAAAAGTACCTTTGGTAAGTTAAAGCAACTCATAAAAGCAAAGGAGCAAACCATGTCTTGTAAAGGCACAATCAGCCCCAAAGTAAGTAAGATCTGGAGCTTCTAGGCCGCAGCAGCTTTGTGAGACCGACACACTGACCCACTTCTCATTTCCGAGAAGTGTTTGCCCCGTCAGACAAAGCACGCAGCCTCACCTGCTCATAGATTTCTATCGCCTTCTGGTACTGCTCCAGCTGCGCGGCGTAGGCGGCCACCTTCAGCAGACACTTGTTGGCCGAACTACAATCAATAGCGTTAAAGTTAATTGTGTCCTGGGGGAAAACAAATCCGCGACCCTCTTACAAAGACCACTTGCCTGTTGGACTCCTCTCCTTTGTAATAGTCCGCAGCCTGCTCGTAGTGTGCAATCGCCTGGGGACAGAAACACCGCGCTCGAATGCCGCGTCTGAAGTACCGATTTTTGGACAGAGCAGTGTCCAGCGACCGCGCTCGCAAAAGCTTTCCCCGCTCGGCGCCCAAAGGGAGGCAGCTCTGCTGGAGTGAGGCGCTGCCACGCATCCCCCACCCCCCCACCATTCAAAACATGAAGCTCCCCTTGGAAATTTGCCCATGCCCTTGTTAAGAGTCCCAAACTCCAGCACAGGTTTAATAACTCTCGAGGTAATGGCTACCAACGCTCGTAATGACAGTGCGACACGACTTCTGCCGGCTTCGCCACGGTAGAATAAACTGCAACAGCCCTGACAGAGCAGGGCTTGATTTAAGCAGGGCTGCACGTGGAGAGGCAATGCTGAAGCCACTAACGGAGATAGATGGGAGCCAGTGAAGTGGAGCTGAGGAAGCAACTGATTGTCTACAAAGTCTAGGAAACATTACATTTTTGTTCTGCACACTTCAAGCAGATTTGCAGCCAGCCGAGCTGCTGCAGGATTCCTGCTCAGGGCCCTTGGTTATGGGAACGAGAGAGGGTCGGGGCTGAACTGCGAACTAAAAGTAGTAGCAGCTTCCTTTGGGGGATCAGAAAACAGCTGTAAAACCGCCCCACAGTTCTCCCAAAGTGCTTTTCGGACGTGAAGCACCACTTCAGTCGAGGTTTCTCACCTGGGCGTTTCAGCAGAGGGGCACGCAAAAGAGTCGGGACCACCCCCGCGAGAGACCCGTGCTGGGAGGGAGGGAAAAAAAAAATAAAATAAAAAAATAAAATAATAAAAAAAAAAATCGTCGCTCCCCCTGTTCACACAATCTACGGGCGATTTGCACCATCATAAAGCAGCCCAGTGCTGGGTGGGAAATGGGTTTTGTCGGGCGCGCTGAGCTCGGCGCTGCTCTGGCCGGGGAAGGAAATGCAGCCGCTGCAGCACCAGCGGCGCCCGGCTTCTTGTACCTTTTCGATGTCTACCAGCTCGGCCTCGTAGATCTCTGCAATGGTGATGTGGTGCTTGGCAGCGATAGTGAATCGTCCCTAGAGAAGGCAGAGGCTGGGCGTGAGATGGGGGTTCCCCCTCCGCCCGGCGTTCACTGAGCTGCAGCTCTTAACAAGCACGTCGGCCCACGAGCTGCCAGCGCAGCTTCTTACCATGTCGGTGTAGATATCGATAGCTGCATTTAAGCAGTTGATGGCCTCTGCAGCATGAGTGTTCAGGGAAAACAACAAAGTCAGCCAGCACGTCAGACTTCCCAGCCCAAAACCTCCCCCCTCCACAAAATTCACATCTTGGGAATATTACTCTTCATCAGACCGCACACCAGCTTCTCAAATAAATACCTACTCCCACATTTACGTATAGCTGGAACAAGAGACGTAACATTTTCAACCTTTAAGACCTACCGATGTAACGCCCCCCGCCTTTTTGTGCCTGCAGATCTAATCCCAATTCACCCAGCCCTAGCACCCCCGTCCCACCGACAGCCCACTGGGGAAAAATTCCGACGCTGACACCTAACAGCCAAAAATTAGGATGGGCAAAATACAAACAACCTGTACTCCGGGTTTGTCAGGCCGCATGCTCAAACAGAGCAAAATTCAAAATATCGAACTCGTAAACACGCAGGGGGTGCCATTTCCTAGGAAACGTGGGTGCTTTACGATTATAAAGTGGTTTTATCGGCCCTAAGTCAGTTTCTCCAGCCCCCCGGCCCAGGAAAGCATGGGTAACCCCGGTGGGTTGGCTGGTGTGTTTCCAAACACTCAGCCAGGGCAAGGGGAATATCGGAGGCCTTCCAGAAAACCACAACCCTGCTCTTCACGACCACATTGGAAGAATCCGGATCCTTTATCCTCATCCCACCAACAGTCAGCCCATTTTCCTCCCGCCTCGCCTCTGCCCTGGGGAAACCCCCCGGAGCAGGGCTGGGGCTAAGGGCAGGGCTCCCACTGTGATCCAGACCCGAGACCCGGTGGAGCATTCCTTCAGAAGCGAGCGTTTCTCCCAAGTCAAGCTAAAGCAGGACGGACACTACCGCGGGGCAGCGCTTCGCCGCCAACGCACCGCACGCGAGCCCAAGCGCCAGGGATCACCTGGAGACGACCCAGCTACACGTGCCGACCCACACCAAGGCGCCGCGGACTAGCTCGCGCCATCTGAAAGCCTCCTGGAGGAGCAGACGGGCAGGGGGTATCGCGGCTCGCGGGTAGCCTGCAGTGAGGATCTGCAGCCCCGGGGAGCCGGTGACCACCGAAAGCCTCGGCACGCCACCTCCTCTGCCGCTTTGCAAGACACAATCCCGGCTTTCACCCCCCCCCTTACCTTGCGGGTCTGCTTTTTTGTAGGCGTTCCCGGCGTCCACGAAGCTGGTGGCCGAGTCGTGTTTGCTCTGCAGCTGCATGTGCAGCTTGGCTGCCTGACAAAACGCGTTCCCTGCAGCTGGGAGAGAAGCGCACACCCACCCCGTGTTACCCTCCGCTCCGGCATCCAGCGGGATCATCACGGAAGGGCAAAGCGCGCGTCGCTTCCCGGGACCCACGGAGGTCAAGAGGTGCAACCACCCCCGAAGTGTCTGTGTGCAGGTGCTGCCTGTCTGCCAGCGGCAGCCCATCCCCACACACGCTCATCCTTGGCCACACGGGTTCATCCTCGCTGCTGGCTGCGTGCCGCAGCTACCAGATCAGCAAGGGGGATCCCTCGCATCTCGAAACTCATCGGATTTGACGTCCCACCCCAAAAGGTATTTCCTTGCTGAAGAGCAAACCCAGGGCAGCGCCCCTTTAGCAGGCTCCCCCCGCTTCAGAATTACAAACTCTCATTTTAAAGTGGTAAATGGCACCCTGGCTTATTTAACACCGGGAACATTCAGGTCACCCCCCATTTTGCCCACCTTCCCAATACTGGAATCAAATGCAAAGCAGAGGAATTGCATCGCCACAGGGACCATCCCCACGGAAACAGCCTGGGATGTAAAACTCTGCTGCAATAACCCACAGGAAGATACTCGGACACTCGTGGGTCACCCCGGTGTCAGCCGCCCTCTACGCAGCGCCTCCGAGGCCGGGTACCATACTCACCGCTCCAGTTTTTGGCGATCTTGAACATGTTGGCAGCCCTGGTGTACATTTCGCAGGCCTCCTCCACCCTGGTGTTGCCCCTGAAATGCAGTGAGAGAGCCCGTGACGCCGTGCCGGAACCAAGCGGGGTGCCGCTGTGGCCCCGTGCGCTTGGGCAACGTGGCCCCTCGGGGCTTGATGAGGCGGAATCTCCCTAATTTTAAAACGCGGGGTGAGCATCGCGCTGCTCAGAGAGGGGAAAGCTGGATTTGGGGACACAGGCAGCAGAGGTGGGGAGAAATTCAGCTGGATCCCCATGGGGTCCCCCCCCAAGCCCCGCTGCGAACAGGGAGCCGAATAACCAAGCCCTTGCTAGAAAGGGGAGGCAGTTTTTCACTGCGTAAAGCAGGGACAGGATAGCAGACAAAACCCACTCCTGCACCTTCCAAAAGAGTTTGGAGCCTGGAGCAAGCTCCCATCTGCTTCTTGACCTGGGTCCCAACTTTTTGGGCAGGAGCCGCCAGGCTCATAAAGAGTCTCATGAGGCACTCAGCAAAAACACCTGCAAAAAGCAAACTCTAGGACACGACAATCTACTGTATCATTTGGAGAACATAGAGCAAATCAAAAATTAAGAGATACTAGACAACTTGCTGCAAAAGAACAACTCGGCACAAACCTAACTGTTTCAGATGATTATCTTGAGAGAGAAGTTACAATATTTTTGTTCATGAAATGCAGATTTCTTCATGGACTTACTCCTACAAGCTCGGTACTGCCCTCTGCAGCAGACGGTCCTGCTGACCCCAGAAAGGGCTGCAGCACAGGAGGTGACAACATTTATTACTGCCTTTTTTCTTTTTTTTCCCCCCCTCCTTCCTTTTGGCAGACGACCACGTTTAACTTCTAAGCACAGGCGGGATTTTTGGACGGCTCCTTGCCCTTGAAAGCCACCTTCTGCATGAACTAAAGCCAAGGGAGCTGGCGCGAGGTAACGCTACACCCTGCAGGGCATCCAAAACCGGGTGGTTTTCAGCCTTTTAGTCTCAAAAAAATAAAAAAGCACTTGTGCAAGCTAATGGAGCTCTTCAGGAAAAAGCCCGACTGTCGATAACGCTTTTGGCTGGGCACTCAGTGGCCTGGGCACCCCCTTTCACCAGGGGGATGCTGAGAGCAAAGTCACCCACCACCATTTCTTCCATTTTAAAAGCGTTTTTTTTCCCCCCCCATCTATTTTTAGCCCAAGAAAATGATAAATTTGCCTCTTGAAATCTCTGCCGGTTCACTTCAAGGATTTTCGGCCATTTGCCCCCTGGATTACACCCCTGGAGCACACCCCACCGGATCTATCTGCTGGAGGCCAGGAGGAATTTATTTTTAAAACTTCTGCTTTTAAGGCTGCAGGCACTCGATTTTTCCAGGCTGTTTAGGAACATCAAGGCCTCCACAAGAGCATCACGCCGTAAATGCTCTTTTCTTAAAATACCAAAAAAAAAAAAAAAAAAAAAAAAAAAAAAAAGATAATCCAAGATTAAGGCAGCCAAAAGTGCCAGTTCGTCTAAACGCTTCCAGGCGCAGCTCTCGCACCCCCAGGGTTATTTACTTTTGAACAAAAAGACCCGGTAAAAAGGAGGCTCGGCCATTTTCCGGGGGCATCCCTCCCCCCGGCAACCCCCACCCCACCGGAGGGTCTCTGCGCTTCACGTCCCGGGCTCGGCGCTGCGAGGGGTCCACTGGCCAGATCTGCAAGACCCCCGAGTCGTGTCCAAACGCACACCCCCTCCCCGGAGGCACAAAAAGCCTCAAGAAGGATGGGGGGGGGGGGGGGCTGCTCCGAGCAGAGCCTTGGGGTGAACCCCGATAGCGCCGCGGCCGTGAGAGGATTTCCAGCGGAGCCCCCCCCCCCCCCCCCTCCCCGGTATTAAAGCCGGGATGAGCGCAGCCGCCGTGGAGCGTGGGGACACCCCCACACCCACGGCGGGCTGGAAATGCCGGGGTGGGGACCCACCCCCCACCCCACGCTGCAGAGGCCGAGCGGGCTCATCACACCGCTGCGCCCATGGACAGCACGGGGGGGGGGGGGGGGGGGGGGGGCTGCTGGAGCACCGCGGGCCACGCTCCCCCCCCCGCTCTGCTATCGGGGGGCTGTTTTCTCCCCAGCCCCCCCACCGACCCCCATGGCGTAACACAGACACACCCCCCGCCGCCGCAGAGATTAGGGGAGACCCTCACCCACACTGCGGGGGGGGGAGCTGCGGCTGCCCCCCCCCCCCCCCCAGCAGACACACACTCCCTCCGCCCCCCCCCCCCCCGCTCACCCGAAGAGCCCCCGCAGGAAGGAGTGGGAGCCCTTCACCCGCTTCTCGGCCTCCGCCATCAGCTGCACAGCCTCCCGCTCCTTGCCCGTGCTGTCCATCGCGCCGGGCCGGCCTCGGCCTCCTCGGCCTCCTCCTCCTCCTCCTCCTCCGCCGGCGGGGCACCGGCGCGCGCGTGCACGGGTGGGGCGGTGCCGCGCGCGCCGGGCACGGTTCGGGTCGCACCGGCGCCGCGCGCGCGCGCGTTGCGCTGCGTTGCCGCGTGCCCGCGCGGCGCTGCCGCCTGCGTGGCGCGGCGGGTTGCGCGAGGCGGCGCAGCGCTCCGCGGGGGGGGGGGGGGGGGGGGGGGGGCAGCGCACCCGGGCAGCGGCGGGGACCGACCCGCGCTTCGGGGTCGCTTGCAGCTCCGTTAGAAGACACCGCCCCGCCAGCCGCGCGCACGGCTGGGGCCAGTCGGCGTTGGCACCGTCACAGCGAGGGGCAAAAGGGTGACATCTGTGCTGCGCCAGAGGCGTCCGCGGCCCCCCCGGAATTACAAAAGTCGCGGCTAAAGGCAGATTTAATTCCTGGCCTTCCTGAAAATGCACGTCCCCCTTAGGAAAGCAGCCGGCACTGGGGTGGGAGTGCTTAAAATGGGGGGAAATAGGAGCAGGATCCAGCTCGGGAGTTTTATCAGACGGGCATCCAGGAGCAGCAGCACACGCTGCTGACGCCTGGATCCGAGCCAGGGTCAATCGAGCCTTACGGCTCCACAGAGAAAGCACTCACCCGCTCCCACGTTACCTGCACCTGCAGAGTATGCCAGAAATAAGTGACTTTATACCAATCTGATGGTCTTTTTTTTTTTTTTTACCAGCTCTGATTCTGCTTTCATTCACATCACTCTCTGAGTTTCCACTGAATTCTTTCAGTGCTAATACAGGAAGTAGAGCTGAAGCTCAGGCTCCTGGGAGAAGGGTCATTGTTTCCAGTGGATATCCTACGTTAAGTGAAAATAACACAGAAAAAGTCAGAAAGCAGGTAACATGGCTGTTTTTTATCTCACTTGCGTTTGCGTCCTGCCCACCCCAAGCACACTGCTGAGTTCCCCCCCCTTATTTGGCAAAGCAGTTCCAAATTCACAAGGAGAAGGCAACAATCGCTCCCTTTTCACCCTGTAAAGCCGCACCATCCTCACTTAACCGAGAGGCGAAACAGCTGAGGCCCGGCAAGGGATCAGGCAAGGCCGCAGCCGGAGCTTGGGTCTCGGCTGACGCCCTGCACATCTCCTCCTCTCACGCAGCCGCTTATGTCCCCAGGTTTTTCAGGCAGCAGCGGTGTGCCCCACACTCGGCCCCCTCAGCGCCCGGCGGGAGGAGGCGGGGAGCGCACCCCCTGGGCCGGCGTAAGGATTAAGGGGCTGGGGGGGGGGGGGCAGGACTAGGTGAGCCCCTGGGTCCGGCCTTCTCGGGCCCAACGCCGGACTACAGCTCCCGGCGTGCCCCGCGGCCCGCCGCGCCGCGATGGCGTCACCGCCCTGCGCCCCGCCGCCGTCTCCATGGCGACACTGGTGCATCTCAGCTAATGGCGGCGGTGTGTGTGTGGGGGGGGGGGCAGCCTCCCACTCCCACACAGACACCCCCAGCCCAGGGAGGGGGCACCCCCAGGCCCCCCGCAAACAGCCCTGGCCTCGAAGGAGCAGGAGAGAGGCCCAGGGGGGTGCCAGCCGCCAGCCTCCTCCCCCTCTCCCCGCCCCACACAGGTGCTTGCCTTCCACCCTGTCCACCAGACACCGAGCTATGCTAATCAAGGTGTAATTAATCCCCCCCGCCGCCGCGGGTTCCTATCCCTGCCCGGGAGCTGTTTGCATGTGCACAGCCCCGCGGTGGTGTGGGCACCCCCGTGTCCCCCACCAGCTGCCGGGGCGCTAGGGAGGGAGCGGCGCCATTGCCAGGAACAGCCCACCACCCCGGCCTCAGGGCTGCCTGTGCCCGGGGAAAGGAAATACCTGCTCTGCTGTCCCACGGGATCCACGTGGATGTAAGCTCAGGAGTGGGGGACGAGCATTCTGGAGACACATCTGCACCTCGGAACCCAGCAGAGCCGGGGGACGCTTCACGTGCAGGACTGCAGGGCCACACCGGGAAAGCTGGAGGGAAAAGCAGGTTGCTGACCTGGTTGCAGATAAACTAAACCGTGGAGCATTTCCAAGGTGCTTGCGGCATTCAAAACCAGAAGCTGACATCCAAATCCAAGGTCACTGGTAAAACTGGTAAGGGTTACACATTGCAAAGGATCCCAAACAGTCCCAGGTTTTGTTTCCCTTTTCCACGCAGCAGCACACAATGGAGCCTTTTTATCTCTACGACCTCGGGTTCCTAACAGAAAACAAAGCTATTCAAAAAATCCTCTGCCCCATGGCTGTGCAGCTCTGCCATCTGATCCTCGCCTTGGAATGGGAAGATGGGATTTGTCAGACCTTTCCCAATTTAGGGGAGAAGGCAGAAAAATTAGCCAAAGCCACAGAAGGATTCGCTTGGGTTGCAAGACGGTAAGTTTGCTGGGTGTCTCCTGGGCAGACTTGGGGGCTGGGAAGGAGGAGGAAGGGATGGTGAAGAAACTTGACAGGGAGCTGGCCTCTCTGGCTTAGTGGTCCCTGCCTGCACCCTGGTGGAGAAGTGGGAATGGGAAGAAGATGGGATGGGGAATGTGAAGGGGAGGGAATAAGATTAGGAAGGGAAAAGGAGAGATGGGACAAAGCAAGGATATGTGCTTAGAAGGGATGCGGTGAAGTAAGCAAAATGACAACAAGCAACAGTTAAGCTAAACACATCTTAAAGTAACAGTCAAACAACTGACCGAATGCTCCAGTGAATTTACTGAATGCTTCAGTAAAATTGGAGCCCAAATCCACAGATTAGGCGCTGACCACTGGGTTATTTTGCTGTTACAGCTAGGACCTAGTAGACTGTAGACACCCTGTCTTAAAAGTCAATTGCAGCCACTGCAAAAGGTTCTGAAACAGTTTGCAAATACAGCTAAAAACAATTCAAGCCCAGTTAAGGTCTGGCCTGGCTAATTGTTGTGATAAAGCCTGAGACCAGCGCGGCATCCTTGCTGCTACCTGCTGAGGCTGGTGCTTAGGGGATGGCGAAGAGCTGAGCCCAGTGGCTTCTGTTCCAGGCTGGCTGAGGAGTCCAGCGACGAGGTGTTCAAGGAGGAGACGCGTCCTGCGGCCGAGTCCCTCATCCTGGCAGGGAGGTGCGTGCTGCTGGCGGCCCGCGAGCTCCAGGTACAGCCAGAGAGCCCACGCTGCAGGGAAGAGCTGGCTGCGTCGGCAAAGAGGGTCTTAACAGAGACAGTAAAGGTAACAGTGGAGGAGGAGAGTGCCGGAGCGAGCAGGGGGGAGGCAGCGGTGAGGAAGGCTGCAGCTGGAGGAGGGACAAGAGCTGCCCTCCACACAGACAGGGGCTGGGGCTTGGGGGAAGCTCTAGCTGGAGCAATGGTGGTTTCTCCACCACATGCTCACCAGGGCAGGTCTGCTGAGCAAAACGCACCTCCTCCCTGCAAGGACTGTGGTGTCGTCTTGGCTGCACAAGGGATGAAATCGTGAACAGGGATTCTTGAGCCTTAGCCACTCTGACCTTTTTTTCTGCCTTTTTTTCTGGTTAGATCCTTCAGATCGAAGATGCTGCCGGGGCAAGGAGGATCATTCAGGCTGCCAGCTGGCTTCTGGAGTGCCTCAGCGTGCTGCGGGATGCAGGGGACATGCCAGGACTGCTGGCTGCTTTCCGGGCCTTTTCCGAGGCCTTGCTTCTGCTGAGCAATCTGACAGCAAAGCGCCTCGAGGAACTCAGCGATTGTCCTCGACAGAAGAGCTTGGCCCAAACTTTGCAGCTCCTTCAGAAGTGCATTCCTTTGCTCCATGCAGCCAAGCACAGCGATCTTAAACGCTCCTGGGATCAGCAAGTCAACCTCTCCAAAGACCACGCTTTCCAGCTGACAGAGAGGACGATCAAAGAGCTCATTTCCCTGCTCGTTGACAACACAGGCAGCAAGGAGCCACAGGACAGAAATGGGACCTTCTCCCAGCACGTGAGCAAGCTGCTGTCTCTCCTCTCTCGCCCAGACCCAGTGCACCTCTCCAGCAGCGAGTTCAGTGCTCACGTGGAAGCGGTTATTTTCTACTCCATGCTCCTAGCAGACTCGTCCAGGCCAGATCTCAAGCTGGACCTGGTAAAACACTGCTGGGTTTTGCTACGGCTGAGGAAAACCATCTGCAGCCACATAAGCCAGCAGGAGCGACAGCCAGAGCAAAGCTGGGCAGAAAGCAGCCTGGTGGAGGAATGTCACACCATGGGAGAGGAGGTGGAGACTCTCGACCAGGCAGTGCTCACAGCTACTCTGTGCCAAATCCTCGACACCTTCTTGGAGGGTAAGGAGCCCCTGAGGCAGTTAGTTGAAGATGCCCTCAGCCTTGCTGGTACAGGGTGTTTTCCAGCAGGACAAGGAGGATTTTTAAAGCAGCTTCAGCCCCTCACTGCCACCTTCTTCACACACGCCCAGCAGATGCTCAGAGTGGCAGACTTTGTTCTGGCCAGGTGCACCAAACCCCAAACCGCTAGAGAAATCGGAGAGTGGGTAGAGTATTTGAAGAGACTCCTTGCCAGTCTCCCTCCACTGCTTACAGGAATGAGCGGAAATACAGCCCAGATGAGCACTGCTGAGCAACTGCGCTCCTTGTACCACACATGGGCTGGAACCACAGAAAGCCTCTTGCGGTGTTTTGAGGAGACGGTCAGCATGTGTGAATTCCTTAAGCTGTCTGTCCGGGAAATGGCCAAGCACAGGGAATGGTGTGAAAAGGCCCTGGAAAGTCAGGACCCTGGGAGGCTCTCTTGGCATGCAACTCACCTCACCAGCTGGGCCCGGTGGGTGGTTGAAGCTACCACCAGGTTCGTGGACAGAGCCACAGACCCCATTTTCAGGAACGGCTTGCTGGTGTGGGTTGAACAACTGGCCAACTCCATCCTCGAGCTGAAAGCGGTCACAGCTCTTTGCCCAGAGAGACTCTCCTGCCTCCAAACTAGCGATGTCTTTTCAAAGGCAGCGAGCTGCCTGATGGATGCTGCTCACCACGTCCAAGATGGGCTGGATGGGTCCAACCACCCCGATATCCTCAGCCCGCTCCGGGAACAAGTGCGAAGCACTGACCTTGCAAAGGGGCTGGAACTCAGCCCGTCACATGTTGGGCTAAAAACCACTACGGATGAGGCTGCGTCGCAAGAAGGTATGTTACGTCGTCCGTCTTCAGCAGCAGGTAACTTACACCCGGATGTGGTTCCAAGGAAAGGAGACACACACCCTGTCATTACGGCTCTCCTAGCAGCGACGAGAGCTCACGATATGGATGCTGTCAACACTGCTTGCTCCGCCTTGCTTGAACTCTCCAATGGCTGTATCGACGCCGCGAAGGAAGCGCTGCCCATTGCTGAGTCTCCCCAGATGGAGATGCTGGGGCAGTACCAGAACATTGTATTACTGACGCCATATGTCATTAGCCTGGCCAGGGAAACAGCCCCAGCACAGCTTTGTCATCCAAGCAGACTTCTCCAAATGGCATTCACGCTCTCAGAAAGGATCTGTGAGACCAAAGAGTGCCTGGCAGCTGTGGCAGGCTCTTGGTATAGTCTGTCTCAGCAAGTATTCGGCTTTATCTTGTCTGCTGACTTTCTGAGAGGCAAACAGGCTTTGGATGAGACCATGATGGGTTTAGCAGGAGCAGTTCGGCTAGCAGGAGACATTGCAAGCATCGCCTGTAGTGAGGGAAATCCCATTTCCCCCAGTGTCTGGGAGAGCTTTCTACAGGTCCAAGCCAAGTTTTCACGTGCTCAGATGAACACCAAAGTGTTACTCGAGAAAGCAGCATCCTTCGAGGGCTCCTGCAGGGTGGGAAAGGCCAGTCTGGAGCTGCACTGTGTCCAGTGGGCTGTCGGCATGCAGGTCCTGCTGGGTGCTGTGGATCAGTTCATAGGCAGGGATGTCCTCTTCCTGAGGGAGCTGAGGAGCGCTGTGAAGAACAAGCTTTGCTCACGGAGCCTCTTGGCTGCTGTGTCTGAGAACTCCCTGAGGCTGCAGGAGGCTGCCTGGCTCTCTTATTTGTCCTGCCCTGAAGACCATGATCGCAGTGAAATCCTAGCGCTCAGGGAAGAGATAAAGGTGCTAATGGAAGCGCTGCTGGATGCCTCCAATACCCTCTCAGTCTCCCTGCTGTCTACTGCCAGCTTGTACATTCGCTTTGAACTCCTGCAGAGAGACTTGGCCCTCAGGGCCAAGGCATTATTGCTCCGCCTGGAGAAGGTCAATACCAAACACCTGCGGGTCATCCGAGATGTTGTTGGACTAGCCCTGTTCCCCATCCCTCAAGAGGACAGGAAGAGGAGTAAACAGGCCTTTGAAGATAAGGCAAGTCGGCTAATGGCTAACGTCCAGTGGGTCAAAACCATCCTCCAAGATGTTCTGGAGGCCAGCGCTCCACTGCAGTCTCAGGCAAACCTGCTCTCCATCGCAGACCACCTCCTGGTCCTCACGTCTGACGCAGTGGGCAGTGCCAGGCAGCTCTTCCAGAGCCGTCAGGACAAAGGGCTTCTCCGCCTAGACAGTATTGTCTGGTACTGGTCAGCAAAGGCACACTACCTCATCACGCAGCTTCAGGCTGTTCAGGGCATCAGTGGACATGTTCTGCACCTCATCACACAACGTTTGCAGAACGCGGGGGACCCGTGCTCTCCCAGCACAGCCAAGCTCTTCCCAGCCCCAGAGCTTGATGCTCGGAGCCACAGCAAGTCAGCAGAAACTTGCCCGAGCAGGAGCAGACGAGGACGTGGAGCTGCCAGGGAGGCCCATGAAATGGTACAGTAGCTTTTTCCCCCCCCATCAACACTTACGGCAGGGCCATGGTCAGGGCTGTCAGTCCATCCTGGTACTCACACCATGGAGCATTAAGATACATGATGTCGGCAGGGACCTCTGGAGGTCAAGTCCAATCCCCTGGCCACCTTCAAAGTTAGATCAGGTTGCTGGCTGCCCTGTTCAGCTGAGTTCTGGATATCTGAGCTGACAGGCACTCTTGAATAAATAAACCCACCTCCAAAATGCTGTTTCTGAGGAGCAGGAGGCTGTACTCCTCTCCCTGCCCTGCAACACTACCTGTCTCTGCTCAGCTCCTCACATCCCCACAAGCACCCTTGGGGGAGTACCAGCAACTCCACTCCCACAATGACAGCGGTCAGTTGTCAGGAACTGGCAAAGGCTGCAGCAACATGATCCTCATCACTCAGCAGAGTGGTTTAGAGCACTTAACTGTGCTTCTCAACCACGGGCGCTGTCAGCTCACATGACAGCTACCACCCATTTGGAGACAGCGCCAGGGGACGATGGCACGGGCATTTGGATTTGATAGTCCCACTGTGGGTGAAGGCAGGGGAGAGAAGGGCTGGTTGGGAAGGTGAGGTGGCAGGCAGCTCTCCCATCTCCTTTACTCACCAAAAACTGCTTCAGAAACACACGGGCAGAGAATTCTCGGCATCGGTGCATCTGCACGCTCCAGACTTCCAGTCTGTTCGGTTCTTGTCTTGACAGCACCACAATGGTCCTCCCAGCATCTCCCTTGCCAGTGGCCCTGCAAAGCAGGAGAGAGAATACAGTGACACATGGCAGGGTGGCCCCAGAAACCTGTCCCAGGTCACCAAGGACATGGCAACAAGGATGCTTCACATGACTCAGTTCCTAAGGAAGAAGGGCCCCATCATGGTATGAAATATTTCACCCCTTCCACCCGAGCACTTTTTTCCCCCCAAGAGCAAGGTCAAAGCCAGCAACAGGGCTGCCCAGCATCTGCTGAAACCCTGCTATTGCCCCGCTCTTGTAAAAGTGGCACCAGCCAAATTTATGCAAAGCATTAGAAATCAATTCCTCCTGATTAGATGTGAACTTGGCATCCAGGCCTTTCCTTGTTTCAGAATATATCTGAGTTGCCTGAACACTCCCCTGTCTTGCAGTCGAAGGGGTCTTTTTTTCTCTTTCTCTCCCCAAACACATTAATTTCTATTTTGTGTCAGAGCAACGACCAACTTGTCGCCTGTGCAAGGCAAATTGCTTCCGACGGGCAGGTGTTTGTTAAATTCGGCCACATCCTTGCGAAGCACTGCCTCGACAAGAGATGCTCCGCAGAGCTGCTGTGCGCCGCGGAGCAGACCCACACCATCAGCAGCCAGCTCAGCATCGTGGCCAGGTGAGTTGTGGGGGTCAAGGACAATCTCCCCCAAAGCTGGTGGCCCCCCTTCTCAAAGAGATGGGCATGGTGGTCTCCAGAGGTCCTTGCTGGACCTGGGCGTAGCCCTTAAGAGTTCAGTTACAATTCAGGGCCGTCCCTCCCCTCTCCCTGTTGCTGTAATCAGCCCTTTCTTCCCCTGCTTTGCCTACTTCTGTGGAAACCTGCTCTGGGGGCAATCTTAACTGACAGAGCTCTGGCCCCACACGGGAGGTACGCTGTCTGATGCTTTTCCAGTAAAATCCTTTAAAATGTCTTCTAAGGGTAAAAGCGGTCACTGCAGAGAGCAAGTCCTCTTCTGAGCTGCTCGTGAGCAACGCGCAGAACCTCATCCAAGCAGTTTGGCATGTTCTGAAGGCAGCCGAGGCAGCGTGTATCAAAGTAAGTTAATGCTGATGGCATCAAATAGGTTTTTCAAGGTGAGTCCATGCTGCAGGGAGCTCCTACAGCCAAGCCAGGTTATGGGAGGTGGGAGCTGGCTGCTGTGGGGCCTCTGCTGATGCCAGCCGGAGGTAAGCATTCTTACTGTGATGCTTTTATTTTATGCCCTTCTGTCTTGTCTCCAAAGCCCACTACGCATCCTTCCAGGCATTGAATTTGCTCTGTCATGGCTACCAACTCGGATGACATCTTTAGCTGGTCCATTTCCCATTTAATTTTTGGATAGGAGAGCAGTAGCATCTCACTGGAGTATTTATTTGGAAATAGTCCATGTCAGTCTTAGCCTTTCTGTTGTCTCAAGGTGAGCTTTGATCAAAATTCTCAAGAGCTTCCTTTGCAGCTGCCAACAATCACTGACTGATCCAACTGCAAATAGTTTGTGAGAGCAGACTTTATCTGAAAGCACCCTGAAACAAGTGCAAATACAACCAGACTCTCCACTGATGCAGTTTTTCATCATGTGCCCTAGTCTCCTATATAATCCTACAACTTTTGCTGAGCTTCAGCACGTCTTTTTGAAAGAGAGAACAGTTTTTATTAGAATCCTATTTGATGAACAATCAGCCACAAGGGTGAAAAAGTTCCTCCTGTGGTTAATTGCCCCTACTGTTAAAAACATATTTCTTATATATATACATATATATAATTTTTTTACTTTGCTGATGTCAGCCTGAAGTAACTAGCCATTCTTTTACCTTGCCCATCTAGACTACAAAGCCCTTTATGACCTGGCTTTTTCCCTTTGGAACTTTCCCTGCTTATCAATAAACTAACTATACTGCTTTGCTGTTATCTCTCTGCAAGCAGATTTTTAAGCATTTTAAGTGTTTTTTAAGCATTAACAGTAGAGATGCCACACTGGTCACACACAAATCTATGCATTCAGACTTGCATATCATTTAAGATATTTTAAACAAGTTTATGTACAGCAAGATATTAAAGCATGTAAATATTTTCTCTAATAGGGTTTGCAACAGCCCCCGCCTGACACAGAAGAAGGAGAAATAGCTGCTTTCTGCATGCAGTGGAGGAAAAACCTGTTGTGGCATAGAGCCAAGGAGTCTTTAAACTCGGACAGGGATGAATTAGGGCTCCGCAAGACTCAGGCAAGGGCTGAACCCACCCTGACAGCTATGGTGCAAGAACAATCACCTCCAACCAAGAATACCCCCCAGGCATCCAAAACCTACTAAAGGACATACAATTATGGACAGCCACCTGTGAAAACAAGGAGGGACTTCTGCTGGAGAGGAACCGCATCTCTAACTGGCCTCAGCACAAAGAACTCAGCCCATGCTGCACTCCTCCCAGCTCGCATCCCTCTGCCAGAGCTGCTCTTGCAGGACGACTGAGAGTGCAAGGCCTGAAAAGGCTTTTGTGTGCTGGCCGCTCCTCCTGGGGCAAATTCCACCCTGCAGAGACACTGCTCCCCGTTGGTGACTGAAAAAGACATGAAGAAAATGATGTCACACTACTGCACTTCCTAAAAGGCCTCTCCTCCAGCCGGCATCTGAAGTCAAGTACTAAGGTGCAGTACCAAGCCACAGAGGACACAGGAGGTGGGGAAGAGCCTTAAGATCCCATTAAAGGGAAAACAGAGGGTGCCCTGTTCAGGAGAGTATCATTCGCTGATTTGTGTTACCTGGCACTGGAGTCACTCTGAAGCCCTTGCTCTTCAATCAGTGGCCACCAAGTAGGGCTACAATTCTTTATATTCACGTGCTGCATTCCCTTGTCTAGCTGTGAGCCAGCTCTGGCTCTTACAGCGTCAGTCAGCTCACCTCCTGCACAAGAAAGCCTCAGAGCTGGGAGGTCCTTCTCAGGCCCCGATCTTTGGCACACTATCAAACTCTTTAGTGACCATCACCTTTTTAGCAACTGTCACCTTTCCTTCTAGAGGCACCAATCCTAAATACTGCACAGGAAGGGCAGCCAGAGATATATAATCCTGCAGAAGAGCCAGTGCAGAGGGTGGAGCTCATATGCAAAGTATGAGCTCAGAGGATAACATCAAAAAGGCACTACAAAAGCTGGAGAAAAGAACTGAAGGAGAAGGAAGACTAAGGAACAGGATAACTGACTTTTGAAAAGCAAAACAGGAGGGTAATTAAGTATTCTCTGCTTTACAGGAATACACTTAGTTTGCAATATGAAGGATTCATATTAGATATTTTTCATCAGAGTGGAAAAATATTAAAACAGGCTACCCAGGGAGGCTGGAAATCTCCCTATTTTTATCACGGGGCAGCAAGCACCAGGTGGTGGTCTTGCAATGCTCAGTCTTTCTGAAGCACAGAGAACAGACAAGATCAGAGAAAAACATTTCACTCTTGCACATCTCCAGGGCTAGCAGGAGTGGGAAGCATTTTGTCTCACCTGCTGCTCCCGACTCAGCAGATCCTGCAGAGAAATGAGACTTTCCTCCCCAAATCCCTCTCAGCCCCAGGACTCTCTTTTACCCAGGGTAAAACATTCAATGCTGATGATCACCCACCTCATAGCTACAGGCTTCCAGAGTATCCAGGACCATCGCTACCGACGGCTCCTGTTACTGCTCTCCACATCCATCCTTCACAGCCTCAGGGGTGTGAGCTGCAAGTGTCCAAGGGAAACGCTGCTCCATGCCACCACACTGCACTTGTGGAAGAGACGGGAGCGAGCCTCCCCTGAGAAAGACACAATCAATCCACGTAGCAGATCAGGCTTAAGTTGCTTGGTGGCTGCAGCCCATTCCAGCCCACCTGTGAGGCAGGACTGTCCCCACCCACCCCCTCTGACACCCCCAGCACCTTCCCTGTATCAGGTAGTTTAGTACTTGCACTGTAGCAATTAATCTCCTCCAGGTTTCAAGAGCAAGTGGTAGCGGTGGGCACACCAGAGACTCCACAAAGAAATCTGCAACAAATAAAGCAGCGAGGGCGGGTGGGTGGAGGAGCCAAGCAGCAGCCCCCAGACCCTTGCCCCCTGGCCGGGGCAGCCCACAGGGACCTGCCGGCTGGATCTGGGAGAAAGGAGGGAAGGAAAGAGACAGTTACACGTGAAGACAACAGGCTGCAACGACTAGCTGGCCCCTTTCAGACTGCATTTCCTCCTTACTTTGTACACGTTCTTTTCCAAAATCAAGACCTGTATTGTATTAAAGATACTGACATGGCAGTGGATCTCCAAGGCTAGAAGCCAGCACTCTGCATCCCTCTACCAAAACACACCCTGCAAACCACTTGAGATCCTTTGCTTATCTCAATTGTAACACACATCATTTTGCTCTTGGTATCAAAGCTTTTCCTTCGACTCTTTAGTTTTCCAGTACTTTCAAAAAAACACAGAGAATCCAAAGAAGCAATGATATCATCACCACCCTACGAGTTGTAACTCCGGGTTAGAGCTGCGCATCCTCCACATCTAAATGTGAAACCACGCATTTGGCTTCAATACTGTCACTTTTTCTCTTTGTTCCGCTATCAATCCGTGGGCTATTTCCAAACTACTTCTACTTTCCCTGCTGTCCAATTCTGCTGGCTCATTTTTTAAATGAAATTCCTGAACAGCCAAACTTGTCACAATATAATAAGAAGGAATCAGGTAGGACTAACAGATTGCTCTAAAATAACAACTAAGTTTAATGTCTGTTACCTAGTTTTCAATTATTTTGAGCGAGCACTATTCAAAATATAAAATTAATACAATTTACACTCTGGGAAATTAGAAAGGCAAACTGAAACCATTATTGCCTTCCACGATGTCTCCTCTGCCATGTTTTGCACACGTAGAAATCAGCAGCTTCCCTCTGTTCATCCAAGCTCTGCTCCTCAATGCAAGACACTTGTATTCTTGCCTGTTCGTCTCACGAGCACAAGAAACCAAAACCTCAGAAGTTGTGACAAACACTATTCTGTTCCATTCGCAAGCACTGCTTGGGCCAACAAACAGAAACAAAGAGGAAAAGATCCACCAAGGAAGAGACTTAATGCAAAGAAACATTCCAAGTGGGCGGGAACCACATGGCAATTGAGCAGACGGCAAATTTTTATTGTAAATGCAGCTAGCTAGGTATGACTACATTTCCTCTATATAAAAAGCAACCTAAAAGGCAAAACAAGAGAGGCTTTGAGGACAGTTGTGCTTTCGGCATGCAACATCTTCAGAAATTAAAGAACATGCGTGACATTTCTCATAGCGATGCTGATCATCGTAGTCAGAGAACAACGGTGACTTTCTCCAAATCAGCAGTCTGACCTCGGAACCACGCAGCCAGCCAACTCCACCTGCATTCGGCACCAGGTCAGTTTAAAAACCCACTACCATCTGACTGTAAAGCAGTGTAGCGACTGCATGAAAACCAGTTTTAGTCACCTTCATCCTTCAGACACCCCCACTGCTCTTTCCCCAGCGCTAAACTAGCTGCCAACATGTCAACATCACAGTCATTAACAGACTTTAACTGTACCCTTTTTAATTTTTTTGTTAAAAATGTCATAAAGACACCATGAATACAAGTACTGCAGTTACATCGATACAAAAAAAGCAATACAAATTAAGCAGCTGAATACAAAAATACATTGAAATACATGAACACCACAATGTAACTTATAGCACTAATCAGAATTGTGTATGCGTGAAAAAATTAAATAAAAACCTTTTTTGTATTGGACAACTTAGGTATTCTCCACTTTTAACAGTAACTTTCTTCTAGTTATGTACTTCACAATTTCTTCTATATACAGCATAGAATAAAATACTTTTAAAAGATATGACATTTTTAATCCTCAATATGCGATATAGGTCTCTTTTACACTAAGAATATTGACTGCATGAATAAAAACTGTCAATGTCTTACAACAACTGATCTGAAAAGGAGGATCAACATTTTCCTTTTAAATCATTTACGTAGGTTTTAAATCAGTTAGTAGGTTTGGCTTGATGCGTCAGACAATCCTTGTCAAACAGTGTCTCTCACAGTAATGTACATAATATTGCTTGTATCTATACAATCATACAAATGTGGCAATCATATCTAAATGTTTTTTATGAAAGAGACAGCTCACACATATACAGGTCTTCGGACTTTCTTAATGACTTATTTACAATGAAAGTGCTTTTATCAGCTCTAACACAATACATGGGGGGTTTTCTACATGTCAATTATTAGTCTCCCTGAAGTTGGAAAAGTATTATATAGAAAATACCACAGCTTTGCAAACACTATAGCATACTGTATAACTGCATGTGGTTCTGAGATTAGCAGCTGAAAAGTGTTGATAATTATAATTTAAAAATAAATAAAGCAAAGAGGTAAACCAGTTACAAAACAGCAGAAAACTGCAATATTCACAACAGTAAAAAGACTTAAAATCAATTGCTAACAAAACGGTGAAGCAGTTGGATCGAAAGTCTTGAAAACATCTTTTAACGACTTATCATCCGATTCCCCATTCGGATCAGTATCCTGTGTCTGAGTTACCTGTCCAGGCTGTCTAACCTGCCTTGGGTCGCTGTACTGCGGTCTGATTAATCCCGACAAAGCTTGGATAGGGAGATTATGCACCGCAGGTGCAGCGCTGGAGTGTTTAGCCTGAGATTTACTGGTGCTATTTGCTTTATCCGAAGTGGCTTCTGCTGATCCTTCCGTATTTTTTTCCACGTTCGAGGCAGCCTTCTGCAGCGATGTATCTTCTGAGAGACTGGGCTCATTTTTACCAGAATTTTTCAAAATACTTTTTTTCTGGTTCTCTCCGTTCTCTCCTGAACTAGCTGGAGCTGTGTCCAATGATGAGCTGTGATCTCTCGGATCGTACAAACTAATACCGCTCAGTATCGAGCCCGGGGTTCCCAGCCTGACACCGCTCGATGACAATTTGGGTGCGTACGGAGGCAGGGCATCCGGGTCGGGTTTAGCAGTCGCAGCGTCCGAGGGCTGCGAGGAGCCAGCCACAGATCTGGCGAGGCGGGGGTCAAACTTCGACGGGTGTGAATCCTTCGCCACTCCGTGATGCGTATCTGCACTTGACAGTCTGTGGAGTCTGGGATCGACGTTTTTTTGTAAGCGAGGATCTCCTAATTTGCTTGAGCTACTGGCATGCGAATCTGCAGACGGATCCAAGTAGCCACTCCTGGCCGTTAAGTTGTTTTTTGCCTTGGCAGCTAGTCGTGGGTCAGCGGGCATTGCATTTGGATGGGGATCGTTTTTCAAATTCCGCAGTTTATTAAGTCTCTGGTCAGCAATGAGTGGAGGAAGAGGTAAGTTGATTGAAGAGACGGGGTCAGGCTTAGGCAAAGGTATCGGGAGCAAGTCTTCGGGTGCCCATACAATATGCTTAGCAAAGTTTGGTTTCATCAGGGTAACATCCATTTTGATGTGGCTGAACTGCCTAAGCTGAGATCGGGGATCCCTTAACGTTACACCAGGCAAAGGTTCCAACGGTATCAGAAAAGCTCGTTCTCTCAGTTCTCTTTCCGAGTCCTCTTCATCATCATCCAGCCCTTTTTGCTTGACTTTAACCCCAGTGTGCCCGTGGTGTAAATCTAGCTTGGCTCCCCCGAGGGACGAGCTGGCGTGGCCACCCTCACTGACCTTGTGCATCCGGGGATCTCGGACGAGCCGTGGGTCCAAGGACGCAGATTCCGAAGGCTTTCTGGGGTTAGACCTCGGAGAGGCCCGCAGTCTTGGGTCAGCAGCCTGAGGCCCTGCACCTTTTTCTTTTGCCAGCCTCGGATCAGTAGGAATACCAAGCATGTGCTGCTCAGTGGAATGTTGTTGCCGATTCCTAAAATTTTCGCTTTGTTTCTTTAAGGTTTTTAGTATTGATTTAACACTGCTCCCCTCTTCCTCTTCACTACTGGAATACCAGTTTACATTGTCATCTAAAAAAAAAAAAATCAAAGCAAAAAAATATTATTCAAGCAAACAATCACCAGGGAATACAACACATTGACTCATATAAAGGGTAACTTCTCAGTAAAATCAAACTGAAAAGACCTGATATTAAATCATCACTGCCTGTATTATAACAACCATAATCCAAAATGACAAAAATAAATTTCAGTGAAGAACCGACGTAACAAAAAAGCTGTAGCTAGTTGAGACATTCCCAAGCTCTGCTGAACTCTCTCTACATAATTCTCTGTCAATATTACTCTGAGAAAATAGCCTGCTTTCAAACAACTGCTTCTACCAGTACTAGTTAAAAAAACCCAAAACATTGTACTACCTTATTACAATCCAAATCACAAGGTTCTGGGGAAAGGTCAAGATTCAGGAAGGGAAGAAATATTTAATATTAAAGGATAAATTCTCAACTATTATATGCAATTTACTGGAAAGCCTTATTGACACAGCTCTGTGCTCAGGTCCACATCCTAAACTTGCCTACCTACTGAAGGAGACTAGCTGTCTACTCTAGCTCAGGAAAACAAGAAATTAAGACCAAACCTACCACCATCCCCACTAATGCACAACAACACGTTTCCTCAGTGCTATCTGTACCACCCAAATACTCAAAAACAGGGAGTGACATGTTGTTACAGGCAGCTAGTAGGAGCATTTTCCATTATACGATGTTCTGAAAGCCCTCTGGGTGGGAGGACTGGTCACTCTAAAGCACTGGTGAGAACTCTTCAGTCCAATGTAGACGATGTAGATGACTCTAGGTCACTCTAGTTCTGTAAGTAGCCTAAAGGGCTGCATCTCCAAATCTCTCTCATCATTTGACCAGAATTATAATGGCAAGATCCTTAAAATCGTTTGATACAGCAACTGCCTTTTCGTCAGACAGAAGACACATTTCTGGTTCCATAACCTAGCAGCCTCAGAAGAGGTAGCAGCAGGGAGCAGGCCAAGGGACAAACATGCTCTGTGTGTCTCAGTCTGATCAGCAGGCTTACTGCTCTCCATTGTCCAGGTTACAGAATACAGACTCAGATTAAACACTGCAAATTTCAGATATCAGAGGCAAAAATACTCCTCTAGAGAAACAGAATATGCAGAAGAAATCAAGAGGCACAACCGAATAAACAGAGTTTAAGATGCACTTGCAGTACTGGCAGTTAGAAATAATGACCTTTCCGTTTCAATCAGGGATTTTAAGTAATTGAGTTATCAACAACAGAACCTTTTAAGAGTGCAAACCATATCCAAAAATTATCCACAGATCTCTCTACCTGGAACTGGAATGCAGCGACTAAGGGTATACTAAAACCCTGGAACAAGCTGGGAAGGAAAGCAAGTATATTCAGCTGAAAATATTATTTGAGTTGGTACTTGCACAATCACAATAGCTGTGAGCAGTAACAGGATGAAAATACAAGTCAACAGATTTGTTCCAGGCTAATACATGGTCATTAAGTATGTTCAGAACTCTAACAAAATCATCTTTACCTTCGTCTTTGCTCATTGCCCTCTGACCCTGGCTGCTGACAGAGTCTCCATCCCTTTGATGCTTTTGACTAAGTCTTACATAAAGGGCTTTCTGCATTGCCGGAAGAAAATCCGGCACATTAATGCCTGATTTATGGCCCATATGGCTACCCATGCAGTCTGACTCGCTTCCACCTTGATGTGGCTCTTGAGCCATGAGGTGAGCCTGGTGATCCGTAAATTCTCCGTGCCATGTTCCATCTGCAGCACAAAAAAAAACCCAACAGTTAGCACCCACCCTTTACAAGCTTTTACAGCAGAGGAGATAAAACATAAAATACAATCAAGCAAAACTAATGTAACTTATATTACACAACTAGAAAGCATCAGATGAAAAAGTCTACACACTGAAGATATTCCAGGAGGTCTGGCTTTCTATTCCAAATTCTTTCAGCTTCTCAGCTTTGAAGCCACGATGTTTTAATACCACACAACTGCAAAGCACCCTATGAAGGAACAACAATCTTTAAATGTCCTTACCACCAGAGTTATTCGCTGGCTGGAAGTTATGTACGGCTTGATGAGAATAGTAATTGTCATAGAAATCAGCTGGGTTCTGAATAGGCTCATAATTCATATTGGGCTGCCGTTCACCGGGAATCTGCTGGTACTGTGGCCCCGGAGGACAATGATTCTCTCTTGGCATATTCACCATATGTCCTTGAACTCCTGGGGCATTGTAAGATCCACCGAGACCCGGTGGTGTGAGAGGTGGACCACCTTGCTGCCCTTGCATAGGCATACCAGTCTGGTTCTGTGGTCCGAGGAAGCCTGGTGGAACACCCTGCATAGGAGGACTCTGCGGCATTCCTGGGCCTTGAGGCCCCGCGCATGGATGATGCCCAGGAGAGCCTGGGTGCATTGGTGGCCCGTTATGTCCTTGTGACATGCCGGGTCCCGGCCCTGGACTTGAACCTGGATTATACATATGCTGAGAATGAGGGTCATTTCCCTGAAATGGTGGTCTTGGTGGTGATGCACTGTTATAGAAGGTTGGTGGCCTGTAGGCAAAAGAAAATTAGTGAATCAAACTTTGCACCTACAAAGATCAACAGCCTACTAGCTATCTTCTCCCCCTCCTCACTCTTACAGATGTCTGTTCTTAAACTAGATAAAAATCTGAAAGAAGCGAAATAATTTTCAAGGAGAGTAACGATATGCATTCATGACATGTGACAGAGCTTGTCTGAAAGGAGAACATTTTTCCAATATCAGCACATGAAGAACTGGACATTTGCTGCAACTTCAGAGTTTTAAACATCCCTAGGCCAACAGCCTTCACCAGGAGAGTCCATTGGCTTCGGTCAAGAAAAAGCTAACTATAAAAAGACTCTAGAAGAGAACAAACTTTGCTCAAACTGCAAACAGAGATAGGCAAGGCAAGCACAGAGCCCAAACAAGAGCCAACAGAGTGACTTTCTGGAAGGTCAAGGCTCAGTAA